TAGTCAGGATGATATCTATGAGGGTACCCATGTTTACGGATTTAGGGTTGTACCTGGTAGGTTCGTTGATAATTTGTGTGAGATTGAGGGCATCTAGTTTGGATTGTAGGATGGCCGGGGTGTTAAGCATATCCCCATTTAGGTCACCAAGCAGTACGAACTCTGAGGATAAATGGGGGGCAATAAATTCACATATGGTGTCCAGGGCACAGCAGGGGGCTGAGGGGGGTCTGTAGCAAGCGGCAACAGTGAGAGACTTATTTCTGGAAAGGTGGATTTTTAGAAGTAGAAGCTCAAACTGTTTGGGCACAGACCTGGATAGTATGATAGAGCTCTGCAGGCTCTCTCTACAGTAGATTGCAACTCCACCCCCTTTGGCAGTTCTATCTAGATGGAAAATGTTATAGTTGGGGATGGAAATTTCAGAATTTTTGGTGGCCTTCCTAAGCCAGGATTCAGACACTGCTAGAACATCAGGGTTGGCGGAGTGTGCTAACGCAGTGAATAACTCAAACTTAGGAAGTAGACTTCAGTTCACAAACATTGTTTGTGATATCCTAATCTATATCAACCATCCTGAAACACACTGCCCATAAGCAATTCCAGTTACCGTGCTGACATTTTGTATTGATGTTTGCTTAACCACATTATCTTGTTCTCATTTGATTATGCAAATCCAGGGTATTTTCATCTTCTATTCCATGAGGACACATATGAAGATCCTACCTTAGAGATAGGAGTAGGTTCCTACTCTCTTTGCATTGTGGTGAACTTTCCTCTATCCATAATTTCTCTATTCACAACTTCCTCCTCCCTTCACACAGAATATCATCTGTTGTCTCCTATCATTGAGCAAAGTAATACATGTTATTACATTAGTCTTATGGTGGTCTGACATGTGACAACAATGGTTACAAGACATGTTGCCAATATAATGCATCTTAAAAGTTTTAGTATAATGAATGTTTGACATTGGTTTAAAACGCTAACACAAGTGTGAAAACATCAATAGATGATTGTGAGGTTTAGTGGTGATTCAGGTTAAACACTAAAGGCTGTAGCCTAATGGTTTGCCATTGGTTAGAATATTATCCCAAGTATAAATGTATAGGGGATCATTTTCTCCCCCATCCTTTAGTATGAGAGAGCTTAGAGTCTCTTCAGTAGGACATGTATCAGAGACTAGGGTTGTCTGAGGCACTGCATCACACAAGTTATCGAGGAGGAGGAGTGAGGAGGAGGGAGGGACCCACATATCTCTCCCCACCCTGCTTGTGACAGGTTCACTGACCATGGCAGAGTTATTTCACCCAGCTCCATCCTCCTCAATCCTCCTCCAGTCCCTCTGCTGCTCTCACCTTGTCTCCGCCCAGCCGTCCCTCTCGCTCAAATTTACTGGGCTCAGACTCTCAGGCTCAAACTACTCACTCCTGCTCTGGCCTCCTTTTCTCTCTCTGCCCTGCATTTGGTGATAGAGGGATGGTAATAATATTAGTGATTTTGAGATATCTATAGGTCGATCACACACATGCATCTGATGGTGTGGTCTCATTTGTTTACACCCCACTTACACCATAGTCTCGCATAGAGAATGACTGCATAAATATACATTATCCCAAGCTCTGTCATGTAGTCATGTACAACATTTGGCTATAACTAGGTTAGAACTCTCCAACACATATTGAAAATGGATCAATCACAGTTGTACATAATAACCTCCAAATTGAAAAAGGGTAACATTGAAAACAAGTTGATTTTTTTACCCCCTCCCAATGAGCACACATATGATTCTCATGCATGCACCCTCCACCCACCACAAACATATTTTGGTCTCCCATTGAATGATTGATGTTGGTTTAAGTAGCTGCCAGAGAACATTAAGGCAAAGCAGAGAGAGTGCAAGAGTAGATAGTCCAGACAGAGATGTCTATCAATTATGCAATTTCCACTGAGAGGGAGAGAGGGGAGGACCAAGGGAGGGACGGATGAAGAAAAGATGGATGAGAAGAGGGAGAGAGGGGAGGACCAAGGGAGGGATGGAAGAATGAAGGATGGATGGATGGAGCCAAGGATGGAGCTAATGAGAAAGAGAGAGAGCAGGCACTATGTCAGTGGATTTTGAGGATGAGCAGAGAGAATGGGAAGACCCAGTATGACATAATATCCTTACTGTAACCACCTGGGCCAGTTGATTCTGTAAGTGCCTCAGAGTAGGAGTGCTGATCTGGGATAAGGTCCCCCCAGGTGCATTTAATCTTATTCATTATGGTCTAAAAGGCAAAACTGATCCTAAATCAGCACCTATACTGAGACTCTAGCTAATGCCTGGCCTGTGAGTGTGGGTGTGTGGGTCTGTACGTGTTTGTGTGCTAGATAGTGGGGCTCTATTTGTGGGCTGTTTGTTGGTCAGAACCACATTGTTCACATGTGAATGAGTAAGTGTGCCACTGTGTTTCAGGGTTAATGTGTGCACTAGTGTGAAGACCTGAGGATGAGGAGGTGTGGACTAGGAGGTGACGTGTGTCTGTGTACCATAGCAGAAAAGTGTTATATTTGAGTATTTTGGTATAGCATGTCAGTTCTATACTGTAACTGAACAATAATGTTATAAGAGTGTTATTGTCAAGAGTGGTTTCCTTTTTTAATATATATTTTAAAAAATGTCTAATTTTACTGAATGGATAGAGAGAGAGGACTTGTGTCTGTGCGTGATTGCGTGTATGTTTTGTGTGAAAAAGTGGCTGCTGTCGTGTTTCTATTTGAGTGTCTCAATTGTGTAAAAATAACATCAGACTGGGTCAATGGGGGCCAGTTGTCTTAAACAATAGGAGTTTCCTGAACACTCCCTCTCTATTCTCTCCCTTACTTACCACACCTCTCCGCCTCATAGTCAAGCATTTATTAGAAGGCTCTATGCTCTCATACTTAATTAGCTTTACACAACGGGTGGGTCTAATCCTGAATGCTGATTGGTTAAAACCGCATTCCAGCCGGTGTCTATTCCACAAATTACCACCGACTAAATCATGACGTTAAAATGCCTATTTACTCCATTTGACTGTGCAATCCACTGTCTCATCAGCCCAGCCAGGCACTTTATAAACTTGATCTCCACTATAAAAAGCATCTAGACATTATCTCACATTTCTTTTAAACTAACATTTAGTTTTCAACAGCTGAGATTTGTATAATCCTTGCTGTCTGTCTCTCCGACACTTGCAACATTGTTTCAATATTCAAATTAGATCCAGCTGTCACATAGTAATGAACGTGTTGTGGAGTCGGGAAGAGACAGACAGGCAGGCAGCTTTTCTCAGCCAGTCGAAATCATGAATCAGCATCATTTTTATGGATATATATATATATATATATATATATATACACAAAGACATATCAATAGAAAACAGGTAAAACAAAATGAAATGCAGCTAGTTTGCAGTCTTTCCAGCTTCAGTTTGAAGTGAGTGTGTAAGCTGTGTTGTTGGCTAGCTCCTCTGAACAACAGTGTCCTGACGAGAGAGCACATTTTCTATGCCAGGTGAAATCGCGCATCATTAGCTCATTGTTATGGATGTATCCAAATAAATGTCACTAGAAAACAGCTTAAACAAATGCAAATGCAGCTACTTTGCTGTTATTCTGGCTGCACTGTTTGACGTGAATATAAGTTAGCCGTAGTTGGCTAGCTAGCAAGCAAGGGATAAGAATGTTGCCAGCCAGTATGGCAATAGAACATTTAGAACGAACGACTGGGTCGGATCCATAGATACAGAACAAAAATACTTAACAACTGGGTTGCGTCTCTGGCAACCGAACCGATAGAACGAACGACCAGCCGGCTTGGGTAGCAATGCTAGATTTGTGTCTGGACTATATCTTGTGGAAGGATGAAATATTATGAATAAACTCATCAAAATAAAGTTTTTAATGGAAATATGTAAGTCATTATTTGAATATGTTGGTAACCCGTTGTATAAAAGTGATAATGCCCTCGAAGCCGGTGTTTGGAGGATATATTGGCACGGTTTGCCGGCCAATAACAACACCCGTGCCAATATATCTTCCCAACACCGGCTTCTCGGGCATTATCACTTAAATATTGTAGCGAATGGTGACAGTGCAATGCCCCTTGTGGCTTTTGAACCTGTAGGCAATCTTGCTAACCACTGGTGTAACGAGCCTAGTTAGAAAACAATCGATACAATAGTCCCCCTCAAATCATTAGAATACTACCACAATCTTTTGCTGCTCTGCTCTTACTGTTGATGTACTTTTCACTGTTATCTGCCAGTTTCACTGTTATCTGCCAGTTTCACTCCATCTTTCTTATCCTTTTTTTCCTTCCACCCATTCTCTCTCATCTCTCTCTCTCTCTCTCTCCTCTCTCTCTCTCTCTCATCTCTCTCCTCTCTCTCTCTCTCTCTCTCTTCTCTCCTCTCTCTCTCTCTCCTCTCTCTCTCTCTCTCTCTCTCTCTCTCTTCTCTCTCTCTCTCTCTCTCTCTCCCTCCTCAGTGTCATCCCCAGGGCCACTTGGAGGGCCCTACAAAGCCACTCTGACATCAATCACTCACTACCCATTATTCACTACACACACAGCTAACTCCACCACCACCCTCTCTATCTCACAGAGCAGCTGCCACCACTCAACCAGCCCTGTCAGCTCCAACGCATAGCACACCTTCCTCCTCCTTCTCTCCCACCTCTTCTTCTCATCCCTTGGTTGCTATAGCGATACACCTCTATTCCCTCCCTTTATTCCCACCAAACCTCGTCCTTCACCTCCGACAGTGCCTGTATGGATTCCTCCTCCTGTTTTTCCGCCATTCCATTCCACCTCTCCTCCCCGGCGCCCCCCTACTCCCTCTTTGGGATTAAGAGTCCCAGTTGTTGCTTACGATCAAGCGGTGGCGTCACTAACGCTAACGCTGGGCTTGCTAATTACAGAGCAGGGTGTGGCCTCCAGGGAGGCCCCTGGAGAGAGAGGGAGAGCAGCGGGGGAGATGAGGAGGCTTCACGTGGGAGGAGGGAGGCTGCTCCTGGTGAAAAACAACCCAGCATCATCCCTCTGATGTACTGTACAACACACTCCACAATAACACACTCCAAAGTACACTCGACACACCAACACCAACCGTCAGGGCTGCACTGACCTGCGCTGGGGCACAAGCCCTCACACAACACAACACAACACAACACAACAGTGTGTGTACTTATTTCCAATACAAATATGAATAGACACACAGCTCGGATGGAAGTGTACCATAAAGCAATTGCGCTTATTCACTGTTACAACCGCTCCTCCCCTCACAACAGCAAGCTCCATCCATCCATTTCCATGCGTTGTCATTTCATCGATATATTTTCCACATCCACCAATTAGGCAGATTCTGATTCCTCAGAGCGTCTCCTTGTGTGCGTCCCAAATGGCACCCCTTTATAGTGCACTACTTTGACCAGGGCTTGGTGGAAAGTAGACCACTATAGAGGGAATAATGTGCCATTTGGGACACAGCCCCAGTCGCTTTCTATCAGCCTCCCTCATTAGGATGCCAGCATGTGGTTTGTTTATTCTTGACCTTGGATCCTGCCAGGTGCTCTAATGAACTTTGTTTAATCACAGGCCAGAGACCAGATTTATAGACATAGAGACTTGCTGATTTAGACCAACTAGACTGCAGAGCAGAGAGACTACATCAAACACACTGCAGAATAGCTACTAGACAATGATAGCTACTGTATCAAAACTGAGACAGGAAGAGGCTGAGACAGACAGAGACAGAGAGAGAGAGGGGGGGGGGGGGGGGGAGATCAAGTCAGATCAACTCTAGAGAATGACAGAGACATAACATCTAGACACGTATAGTGTAACTCACTATATAAAGCCGACCCGTCTAGAACACTGGCACTCCGGTCATGTGAGGATGTGATAGCTCAATTATCACCTGTCTCTTCTCCTTCCATCACTCTCTCCTCCACACATCCCTACCCTTTCTCTCTCTATTTTTCCTCTCTCTCTTTGCCAGATGAGCCCTGCACGCCATGCCATACAATGACCCCAATTCTCTCCTCTCCTCTTCTCTTCCCTTACACCCCCCCCCCTCCCCCCCTCAGGTAGATGTGGAGGCCCTGGACCCCCGGGGTCGGACCCCCCTCCACCTGGCTGTCACTCTGGGTCACCTGGACTGTGCCCACCTGCTCCTCCAACATGGTGCCGACGTCAGCAAGGAGAACCGCAACGGATGGACGGGTGAGACAGGGAGGGGTAGTAATAGTAATAGTAGTAGTAGGAGTAGTAGGAGTATTAATAGTAGTAGTAGTTGTAGTTGTAGTAGTAGGTGTAGTATTAGTAGTAGTAAAAGTAGTAGTAGTCATAGGAGTAGTAGTAGTAAGAGTAGTAGTAGGATTAGTAGCAGTAGTAGTAGTAGTTGTTGTTTGTTGTTGTTGTTGTAGTAGTAGTAATATAAGTAGTAGTAGTAGTAATAGTAGTAATAGTAATAGTAGTAATATAAGTAGCAGTAGTAGGTGTAGTAGTAATAGTAGTAGTAATAATATAAGTAGTAGTAATAGTAGTTGTAGTAGGAGTAGTAGTAGTACTAGTAGTAATATAAGTAGTAGTAGTCATAGGAGTAGTAGGAGTAGTAGCAGTATTAGTAGTAGTAGTAGTAGTAGTAGTGCAGCAGCAGCAACAGTAGTAGTAGTAGTAGTAGTAGTAGTTGCTGTAGTAGTAGTAGTAGTAGTAGTAGTAGGAGTAGCAGAGTAGTAGTAATAGTAGTAGTAGTAATAGTAGTAATAGAAGTAGTAGTAGTAGGTGTAGTAGGAGTAGGAGGAGTAGTAGTAATAGTAGTAGTAATAATATAAGTAGTAATAGTAGTAATAGTAATAGTAGTAATAGTAGTTGTAGTAGGAGTAGCAGTAGTACTACTACTAGTAGTAATATAAGTAGGAGTAGGAGTAGTAATAGTTGTAGTAAATAGTTGAGTTAGTAGTAAGTAGAATATAAGTATGTGGAGTTAGTAAAGTAGTAGTAGTAAGAGGTAGTAGTAGTGAGTAGTAGTAGTAGTTAGTAGTAGTAGTAGTAGTAGTAGTAGTAGTAGCAGAGTAGTAGTAGTGCGTAGTAGTAGTAGTAGTAGTAGTAGTAATATAGTAGTTAGTAGAGAGTAGTAGTATGTGTAGTAATAGTAGTAGTAGTAAGTAGTAGTATATAAGTAGTAGTAGGTAGGTGTAGTAGTAGTAGTATATGTAGTATAGTAGTAGTAGGTAATATAAGTAGTATAGTAGGTAGTAGTAGTAGTAGTAGTAGTAGTAGTAGTATAGTAGTAGAGGAGGTAGTAGATAGTTGTAGTAGTAGTAGTAGTAGTAGTATGTAGTAGTAGTAGTAGTAGTGTAGTAAGTAGAGGAGGAGTATAGCAGTAGGAGTAGTAGTAGTAGTAGTAGTAGTTGTAGTAATAGTAGTAGTAATAGAAGTAGTAGTAGTAGTAGTAGTAGTAGTAGTAGTAGGAGGAGGAGTAGCAGTAGGAGTAGTAGGAGTAGTAGTAGTAATATAAATAGTAGTAGGAGTTGTAGTAGTAGCAGTAGGAGTAGTAGTAGTACTAGTAGGAGTAGTAGCAGTATCATTAGTAGGAGTAGTACTAGTAGCAGTATCGGTAGCAGTAGCGGTAGAAAACTTTATCATCCCTCAAGGGGAAATTGTTTTTTCAGCAGAATCATCCATAAAACACAACAGGCATGTGTACTGTGAAAGCATAGATACATTGGCTAGGAAAAGTCTAATAGTGACTCATCATTAAAGGCTGGAAGGATGTACTGTATATAATCTCTATAGAAATAGATTGAGGGGATTGGATTCTACAAATAGGAACCATTTGTTTGTGGCTGGATCTAGTCAAGTAATTAGGCACACTTGCTTTTAAATGCACTTATTGATTATTTTAAATGAAATTGAAATTGATTGGGTAGGTTAGTCAGAGTTTCCTCAGAGAGTTGGTTAGTCAGAGTTTCCTCAGAGAGTTGATTGAGGACTGTGGCACTGGGAAGGGACCTGTATAGTATAGTATAGTATACTATAGTATAATGTAGTGTAGTATAGTGTATAGCACAGCACAGTATAGCATAGTTCAGAGCAGCACAGTATAGTACAGCATACACTCACTGGCCAGGTTATTAGGTTCACCCATCTAGTACCGGGTCGGACCCCCCTTTGCCTCCAGGACAGCCTGAATTCTTCAGGGCATGGAAACGTTGCTCAATTGGTATCAAGGGTATCAAACATTCCCCACACCATTACACCACCGCCACCAGCATGTACCGTTGACACCAGGCAGGATGGGGCCATGGACTCATGCTGCTTATGCCAAATCCTGACTCTGCCATCAGCATGACGCAACAGGAACTGGGATTCGTCAGATCAGGCGATGTTTTTCCACTCCTCAATTGTCCAGTGTTGGTGATCGCGAGCCCACTGGAGCCCACTGGAGCCCACTGGAGCCCGCCTGTTAGCTTGCAAGATTCTTTCCATTCTCCATTGACCTCTCATCAACTAGCTATTTTCGCCCACAGGACTGCCGCTGACTGGATGTTTTTTGTTTGTCGCACCATTCTTGGTAAACCCTAGACACTGTCGTGTGTGAAAAGCCCAGGAGGCCGGCCGTTTCTGAGATACTGGAACCGGCGTGCCTGGCACCGACGAGTCTACCACGCTCAAAGTCGCTTAGCTCACTAATTTTGCCCATTCTAATGTTCAATCGAACAGTAACTGAATGCCTCGATGCCTGTCTGCCTGCTTTATATAGCAAGCCACGGCCACGTGACTCACTGTCTGCAGTTGCGAACCATTTTCGCGAACCATAGACTGGCCTCTGAGGATGTGTGTCTATATGTAAGGTGAAGATTGCCTTTTTCTCTCCCATAGTGCTCCAGGAGGCAGTCAGCACACGAGACCCAGAGCTGGTGCGCCTAGTTCTGCATTACCGTGACTACCAGCGGACCAGTAAGAGACTGGCGGGAATCCCTGTCCTCCTGGAGAGACTGCACCAGGTGAGAGGCACTGACACCGAACACAAGTACAGAGCACAACAGCAACTTCAGACTACAGACATTTAGGAAACACTTGTAGATATACAATACCAGTCAAAAGTTTGGACACACCTACTCATTCAAGGGTTTTTCTTTATTTTAACTATTTTCTACATTGTAGAATAATAGTGAAGACATCAAAACTATGAAATAACACAGATGGAATCATGTAGTAACCAAAAAGTGTTAAACAAATCCAAATATATTTTATATATGAGATTCTTCAAAGTAGCAAACCTTTGCCTTGATGACAGCTTTGCACACTCTTGGCATTCTCTCAACCAGCTTCACCTGGAATGCTTTTCCAACAGTCTTGAAGGAGTTCCCACATATGCTGAGCACTTTTTGGCTGCTTTTCCTTCACTCTGCGGTCATCCCAAACCATCTCAATTGGGTTGAGGTCGGGTGATTGTGGAGGCCAGGTCATCTGATGCAGCACTCCATCACTCTCCTTCTTGGTAAAAATAGCCCTTACACAGCCTGGAGGTGTGTTGGGTCATTGTCATATTGAAAAACAAATGATAGTCCCACTAAGCCCAAACCAGATGTGATGGCGTATCGCTGCAGAATGCATTTATTTGGGCTGCAATTACTAAGGCTGGTATCTCTAATGAACTTATCCTATGCAGCAGAGGTAACTCTGGGTCTTCCATTCCTGTGGCAGTCCTCATGAGAGCCAGTTTCGTCATAGCGCTTGAAGGTTTTTGCGACATTTCAGAAACTTTCAAAGTTATTGAAATGTTCCGTATTGACTGACCTTCATGTCTTAAAATAATGATGGACTGTCATTTCTCTTTTCTTATTTGAGCTGTTATTGCCATAATATGGACTTGGTCTTTTACCAAATAGGGCTATCTTCTGTATACCACCCCTACCTTGTCACAACACAACTAATTGGCTCAAGTGCATTAAGAAGGAAATAAATTCCACAAATTAACTTTTAAGAAGGCACACCTGTTAATTGAAATGCATTCCAGGTGACTACCTCATGAAGCTGGTTGAGAGAATGCCACGAGTGTGCAAAGCTGTCATCAAGGAAAAGGGTGGCTATTTGAAGAATCTCAAATATACGTGTTCGTCTTCACTATTATTATACAATGTAAAAAATATTAAAAATAAAGCAAAACCGTTGAATGAGTAGGTGTGTCCAAACCTTTGACTAGTACTATATATGTTTTGACCATGACAGTTTACAATCTAAGGTAACACCAAGTAATTTAATTTCCTAAACTTGATCAACAGCCACACCATTCAATACCAGATTTGTACCAAATACAATGCTCTTAGTTTTAGAGATGTTCAGAACCAGTTTATTACTGGCCACCCATTCAGAAACTGACTGCAACTCCTGGTTAAGGGTTTCAGTGACTTCATTAGCTGTGGTTGCTGACACGTATATGGTTGAATCATCAGTATACATGGACACACAGGCTTTGTTTAATGCAAGTGGCAGGTTATTGGTAAAAATAGAAAAGAGTAGAGGGCCTAGAGAGCTGCGCAGCGGTACACCACACCCTACATGTTTGACATTAGAGAGGCTTCCATTAAAGAAAACCCTCTGTTCTATTAGATAGATAGCTCTGAATCCATTATATGGCAGAGTTTGAAAAGCCATAAAACATGTTTTCTCAACAACAGGTTATGGTCAATAATATCAAAGGCTGCACTGAAATCTAACGGTACAGCTCCCACAATCTTCTTATCAATTTCTTTCAACCAATCATCAGTAATTTGTGTCATTGCAGTAAATGTTGAGTGCTCTTCTCTATAAGCATGCTGAAAGTCTGTTGTCAATAGAGAAATAGCATTGTATTTGGTCAAACACCATTTTTTCCAACAGTTTGCTAAGAACTGGCAGCAAGCTGATATCTCTGCTGTTAGAACCAGTAAAGGTCGCTTTATGAATGACTTTGGCTTCCCTCCAGGCCTGAGGAATAACACCTTCCTCTAGACTCAGATTAAAGATATGACAAGTAGGAGTTGCCATTGAGTCAGCTACCATCTTCAGTAGCATTCCATCTATGTTGTCAATGCCAGGAGATTTGTAAAAAATAAATCCACCTTTCCCACACTAACTTTACAAAATTAAAACATACAATTATTTTATTTCATAATTGTTTTTTTTATGCATGAATACGATGGCTCACTCTTCGTTGTTGGCATTTCCTGCCTAAGTTTTCCCACTTTGCCAATGAAGTAATCATTAAAATAATTGGCAACATCAAATGGTTTTCTGATGAAACAGTCAGTTTCTTAACAGGTGTATGTTTATCAATAATTGGAAGAAGTAATTTAATATTTAAAAGGATGCTCCTTATTAATCACATCAGACCAACATATATTTTTTAACATCATCCACATAAGAGTCACAGCAAAATCTTCTGTATGATCTTATATACTATTTTAGGCCCAGCTTTTGGAACTTTGGCTTTCCTGGATATGGCCACTGTGATCACTGCATCTCATGCGTACGGATACAGTTATCCAATGTGTACGGATACAGTTTATGATTGATCTGCACCCCTTTCTTCATCCCTCTCTCTTTCTCTCTCTCTCCCAAGTCCCCCCACTACTTATTGTATTAATCCCACCTCCTCCATATCTGGCTGTGTCTCACCACCAGCCCTGGGATGGGATTGGAACAGCTACAGTCCTTTTTCCTGGCCACCCCAAGAAAATTACTCTCTTTCTCTCCTTTTTCCTGTGGTGTCTTCCTTTCTCTCTCTCTCTCTTGTCCCTGGTCTGTGTGTGTATTGTGTTGTGTTGTGTTGTATTGTGTGTGTGTGGGTGTCTCCCCCCTTTCTCTCTTCTCTCTCTCTCTCTCTCTCTCTCTCTCTCTCTCTCTCTCTCTCTCTCCTCTCTCTCTCTCTCTCTCTCTCTCTCTCTCTCGCTCAAGGCTCAGGACTTTTACGTGGAGATGAAATGGGAGTTTACAAGCTGGGGTAAGTCATAATAAGTAATGTTACCTGCCTCTCAGCTTTTTACCTGCCTGGATTATGGCTTCCTGCTTGACTGTATATGAGCTTGGTGACAGATTTCCTTTCTCTGTGGGGCTGCATTGTCTCCATAGAAATCGAATCACTAGAATGGTTAAGACCCCCAGATCACGAGAAAAAAAATATTACACTCAAAATGGCCGCCAGTCCAACCATCACAGGGCCATTAACTAGAATGGGGGTGACCCCTGTTCTAGGAATTATATTTCTATGGTTGTCTATCTCGCTCTCTCTCTTTCCTAGTGCCCCTGGTGTCTCGTATCTGCCCCAGTGACACGTACCGTGTGTGGAAGAGTGGCCAGTGTCTGCGTGTAGACTCCACTCTCATGGGCTTTGATCAGATGACCTGGCAGAGAGGAAACCGAAGCTTCATCTTCCGGGGTCAAGGTCAGGGGTCAGGGGCCGGTGTATGTGTGTGCATGTGCGTGTGTGTTTATGTGTGAGTGTTTGTGTGTGCAATAGTGTGTGTGTATGTGTGGTTGAGTCCTCTTTTCTATTGTCACAGGACTTCCTTCCTTCCTTCTTTCCCCCTCTCACTGTCATCATTATGTTAGTCACTTCCTGTCAGATCTCTCCAACTCAGGACTATATCCTGTTTTGATATTACTTCCTCTCACTGTCTTTTATTGACTCCTCCAGCTTTTTAAATCCTCCTCCTCCTCCTTCTCCTCCTCCGTCTTTCTGTTTCACTCCATCTCTGTCTATATGACCTTTCTTTTCAATCTCTCTCGACTCTCCTCCTACGTATGTCAGTCTATTATATAGAGCCATTATGCCATCTCATATTGCTCAAATAAACAGCAAACCTGGTTTCAAAAAACAGATAAAGCAACACCTCACGGCACAACGCCTCTCCCCTATTTGACCTAGATAGTTTGTGTGTATGTATTGATATGTAGGCTACGTGTGCCTTTAAAATAAAATGTATGTAGCTCTGTCCTTGAGCTGTTCTTGTCTATTAATGTTCTGTATTATGTCTCATGTTTCATGTTTTGTGTGGACCCCAGGAAGAGTAGCTGCTGCTTTTGCAACAGCTGATGGGGATCCTAATAAAATACCAAAAATACCAAATAAACCTACTCTTCCCTACCTCTATCTCTCTTACTCTCTGCCTATCTCTTTCCAACCTGTCTTTCTCTCCCTTCCTGTCTCTCTCTAACCCATCCATCTTTCTGTTTGTCTCTCTCTAACCCATCCTTCTCTTTGTTCATCGCTCAGTCTATCTCTCTATAAATCCATATTTATTTCTCTGTCTGTCACTCTCACTAACCCATCTTCCTCCTCTCCCTCTCTCTAACCCGTCTTTCTCTCTATATATCCCTGTCTAAATCCATTTCTGTCCGTCTACCAGTGTCTCTAACCCATCCTCCTCCTCTTCCTCTGTCTCTCTAACCAACCCTCTCTCTCTCCCTCTCTCTCTCTAGCTAACCCATCTTTCTCTCTGTCTACCTTTCTCTCTAACCCATCCCCCATCCTCTCGCTCTCTCACTCTCATTCTTACTCTCACATTCTCTCTCTCTCTCTCTAACTACTCCACCTCTCTGTCTATCCGCCAGACTCCAGTGCGGTGGTGATGGAAGTGGACCACGACAGACAGCTGGTGTTCTGTGAGACCCTGTGTGTGTCCTCCCTGACGTCTCCCTCCCCACGGCAGGGCACTACCATCTTGGGCCTACTGGGGGCACTACAGCCCAGCGAGGAGCAGGTGGCAGCCCGCCTCTCCGCCCCCGTGGTCACCACCCAGCTAGACACCAAAAACATCGCCTTCGAGAGGTGAGAGACAGAGGGAACGAGAGAAAGAGTGTTAGCATTGAGATATGTATGAAAAGAAAGGGAGTAGAAGAATGATAGAGTGAGAGAGGGATAAGGGATGAGGAGAGGAAGAGGAGGAGAGGAAGAGGAGAGGCAGGGAGGGGGGGTCACTAAGGGCACAAGACCAGACACATCTCTCTTGCAGGTCAGATTGTATGAAAAAGAAAGGGAGGAGAATGAGAGAGAGAGAGAGAGAGAGAGAGGGGGGGGGAGGTGAGAAGGAGGGAGAGTGTAATCATCATTTATTGCTTGCTGAGTGTCACCTCTGTCGTTTTGGCAGCGTCAGGGGGATGCTCGACGTGCTAATAATCCATTTATGAATATGAATTGAAGGGAGGGAGAACACCACCTCTAAGTCAGACCTGTTGTGTCTGGCTCTGTCTGTCTGGCAGGAATAAGACTGGCATCCTAGGCTGGCGCAGTGAGAAGACAGAGATGGTGAACGGGTATGAGGCTAAGGTACAGACATGTAGTCATTAATCCTTATATCCCTGGCTTTCAAGATGTACAGTATATGATGTAATCTGTTTCCTGAGTGCTGGTTCTAGAGTAAGGCACTATCAATATACAGATACACTACCAGTCAAAAGTTTTAGAACACCTACTCATTCAAGGGTTTTGCTTTATTTTTACTATTTTTTAGATTGTAGAATAATAGTGAAGACATCAAAACTTTTAAATAACATATATGAAATCATGTAGTAGCCCAAAAAGTGTTAATAAAATCAAAATATATTTTATATTTGTGATTCTTCAAACAGCCACCCTTTGCCTTGATGACAGCTTTGCACACTCTTGGCATTCTCTCAACCAGCTTCATGAGATAGTCACCTGGAATGCATTTCAATTAACAGGTGTGCCTTCTTAAAAGTTAATTTGTGGAATGTATTTCCTTCTTAATGCATTTGAGACAATCAGTTGTGTTGTGACAAGGTAGGGGGGTGTATATAGAAGATAGCCCTATTTGGTAAAAGACCAAGTCCATATTATGGCAAGAACAACTCAAATAAGCAAAGAGAAACGACAGTCCATCATTACTTTAAGCCATGAAGGTCAGTCAATACTGAACATTTCAAGAATTTTGAACGTTTCTTCAAGTCGCAAAAACCATCAAGCGCTATGATGAAACTGACTCTCATGAGGACCGCCACAGGAATGGAAGACCCAGAGTTACCTCTGCTGCAGAGGATAAGTTCATTAGAGTTACCAGCCTCAGAAATTGCAGCCCAAATAAATGCTTCACAGAGTTCAAGTAACAGACACATCTCAACATCAACTGTTCAGAGGGGACTGTGTGAATCCGGCCTTCATGGTCAAATTGCTGCAAAGAAACCACTACTAAATGACACCAATAAGAAGAAGAGACCTGCATGGGCCAAGAAACACGAGTGATGGACATTAGACCGGTGAAAAATTGTCCTTTGGTCTGGAGTCCAAATTTGAGACTTTTGGTTCCAACCGCCGTGTCTTTGTGAGACGTGGTGTGGGTGAACGGATGATCTCTGCATGTGTAGTTCCCACCGTAAAGCATGGAGGAGGAGGTGTTATGGTGTGGGGGTGCTTTGCTGGTGACACTGTCTGTGATTGATTTAGAATTCAAGGCACACTTAACCAGCATGGCTACCACAGCATTCTGCAGCGATACACCATCCCATCTGGTTTGGGCTTAGTGGGACTATCATTTGTTTTTCAACAGGACAATGACCCAACACACCTCCAGCCTGTGTAAGGGCTATTTTACCAAGAAGAAGAGTGATGGAGTGCTGGATCAGATGACCTGGCATCCACAATCCCCCGACCTCAACCCAATTGAGATGGTTTGGGATGAGTCGAGCATATGTGGGAACACCTTCAAGACTGTTGGAAAAGCATTCCAGGTGAAGCTGGTTGAGAGAATGCCAAGAGTGTGCAAAGCTGTCATCAAGGCAAAGGGTCGCTATTTGAAGAATATAAAATATAAAATATAATTTGATTTGTTTAACACTTTTTTGGTTACTACATGATTCCATATGTGTTATTTCATCGTTTTGATGTCTTCACTATTATTCTACAATGTAAAAAATAAAGAAAAACCCTTGAATGAGTAGGTGTGTTCAAACCTTTGACTGGTACTGTATACATAGACTCAGCAGTGAGCCCACCTCCCTACTACATCACTAATCTAAAGCAGTCACAGAATTTGCGTCCCAATTGGTACCTTCTTCCCTATATAGTGCACTATTTAACCAGAGTCTCATAACCATGACACTCTTTTTGTCCTTGTCTTCTCTGTTAGGTGTACGGCGCCTCCAATGTGGAACTGATCACTCGAACCCGAACAGACCATCTCACTGAGCCACTCAAGTCTAAGCCCAAAGGTGTCTCTCTTTGCTGAAGTTCTACATATTGGTTTAAAAATCCCCTTGGTAATCTTCCACATCACGTCCACATCTTGGCTTAGATACAGTAAAAGGGCCCAATTCAGAGCTGAGATATGCGTGCGCAGCACAGACTTTGGTGTAAGTCATTCATTGACGTCAATGGGAGAATTGTGTTGAGCGCGCTGATTTCAAGTCAGAATACAACACTAATAAACTGGAGTGTATTCACTAGGAATCAAACGGAAGAAAGCGGGCTGAAACGGGGAACAACTAACCTGAACTTGTCCAATAAGAAACGCTTGTTTTGGTTGCAAAATATTTAGCTATGGTTTGCACTAATAGACACACCCCTGTTGAGAAGCTCTGATGTTGATAATTGCACAGAAGCCCCAACAAGTGGCCCTAAAGCATTTTCCACAGTCATTTACTTGGCCAGAGAAACCTATTGTCCTTGTTTTTCTCCCCGCTGGGCTACCCAGCAAAGTGCTCTGCTCTCACCACCGGCCCCAACCCTCTCAAAGCCCTCCCTCTAAGAACCCAACTCCCCCAGTCCCTTACCCCATCTCCATCCCTCAAATATTGATGAGAGACTGCAGTCGAGAATTCTTAAGTTAGACATATAAATAATATTAGTAGAACAGACATTCCCACTCCCACTACCAGGTCAACATTCCTACTAACCCTATTTCTATGGTCACAGACTTGTTTTGAGTTCCTCTCCTGAATGTTCCAATGATGTGACCTTTTCCTCAGGCGGAAAGACGCCCCTGCAGAACTTCCTAGGGATCGCTGAGCAACACATGGGGCCCAACAATGGGGTTAGTGGTCATAGTCATCATTATCATCATCATCATCCTCATCCTCCTCCTCATCAATCCTAATCATTATCCTCATCCTCCTCATTGTATAGGGATTTTACCTTATAGCTACAGTGAATCACAAGCCAACATAGCTGTCAATATTGATATGAGTAAAGAGTTCCCCGGGATTCTCTTCTCTCTCAAATATTGATCACCATTTTAATTGGCTTCTGCTGGCAAACCCGCTGACAATCTTTATCCCCCTCTCTCATCCTCTCGCTCTCTCTTTCTTTCTCTCTCTTAACCCTCCTTCCTTCTCCCTCTCTCTTTCTTTCTCTCTCTTAACCCTCCTTCCTTCTCCCTCTCTCTTTCTTTCTCTCTCTTAACCCTCCTTCCTTCTCCCTCTCTCTTTCGCTGTCTTTCTTCACCCTCCCTCCTTTTATCTCTCTCTCTCTCTCTCAATCTCTTTCACTCTGTCTCTCTTCCTCTATACCTCCCTCCCTCCCTCCCTATCCCCCCCTCCCCTTTTCTCAACAGGCCCTAGTGACTCAGATGTCAAGTCCTGCCGTGACCAACCCCACAGCCCTGACAGCTGAGGAGTACTTCAATCCCAACCTGCCCCTGGGCACCCGGGATATTGGCCACCCCTGTCAACTCACCACCAAGACTCAGAGGTGACAGCAACAGCCATCACAGCCCTTATAACAACTTCTATGCCTGGGGCCCTTGGCTATAAAAGCCCTGCCCAGAACCATACAATATGTCTACATCCCAAATGGCAGCCTATTCCCTTTATAGTGCACTACTTTTGACCAGGGCCCAAAGTAGTGCATTATATAGGGAATAGGGTGCCATTTTGGGACGCACTCTACAGTATGTCTCTGGCCCTGTCAAGTGTTTTGGCTCTGGCCCATGCATGTACATGTTTTCCTTCTATCCAATCTATGTATAATGTGTGATCTGGTAATTGACTATGAACCTGGATCTCACATCAATAGCTGTTTAGAATTCTGCTGGTTATTGGATTGATTGTGACAAGACAACAGTGAGATGATGTCCCAGCCCGATCACTAGGCTACTAGTACATTATCTCATCAGTTGAAAATAAACATTGAGTGGCCTGAACAGAAACCCTACACACACAGTGCTTGAGAACAGTTGATTGCCGAGTCAATGGTGATGCCGATCTTTTGCAGTGCAACAAATTACAAGACAAAAAAATTCTCTCAGGATTTGATAAATGTTATAGGATGAGATAGAACTAGAGTTCCAGTCTCTCACAGTTTTTGAAAATGCCTGTATGATCAACAAAGATGCTTTCTGCGGGACACGTTACTGCATTGCACTGTGTGTAGTACTTGTGTAAAACAGGGTGGTGTTCATTAGGCACCTACAGTGAGGGAAAAAAGTATTTGATCCCCTGCTGATTTTGTATGTTTGCACACTGACAAAGACATGATCAGTCTATACTTTTAATGGTAGGTTTATTTGAACAGTGAGAGACAGAATAACAACAAAAAAATCCAGAAAAACGCATGTCAAAATTTTTATAAATTGATTAGCATTTTAATGAGGGAAATAAGTATTTGACCCCTCTGCAAAACATGACTTAGTACTTGGTGGCAAAACCCTTGTTGGCAATCACAGAGGTCAGACATTTCTTGTAGTTGGCCACCAGGTTTGCACACATCTCAGGAGGGATTTTGTCCCACTCCTCTTTACAGATCTTCTCCAAGTCATTAAGGTTTCGAGGCTGACGTTTGGCAACTCGAACCTTCAGCTCCCTCCACAGATTTTCTATGGGATTAAGGTCTGGAGACTGCCTAGGCCACTCCAGGACCTTAATGTGCTCCTTCTTGACATTTACATTTACATTTTAGTCATTTAGCAGACGCTCTTATCCAGAGCGACTTACAGTTAGCACATACATTATTTTATCGAACCCACAACCCTGGCGTTGCAAACGCCATGCTCTACCAACTGAGCTACATCCCCTGCCGGCCATTCCCTCCCCTACCCTGGACGACGCTGGGCCAATTGTGCGCCGCCCATGGGTCTCCCGGTCGCGGCCGGCTACGACAGAGCCTGGATTCGAACCAGGATCTCTAGTGGCACAGCTAGCACTGCGATGCAGTGCCTTAGACCACTGAGCCACTCCTTTGTTGCCTTGGCCGTGTGTTTTGGGTCATTGTCATGCTGGAATACACATCCACGACCCATTTTCAATGCCCTGGCCCCGTCCATCGTCCCTTTGATGCGGTGAAGTTGTCCTGTCCCCTTAGCAGAAAAACACCCCCAAAGCATAATGTTTCCACCTCCATGTTTGACGGTGGGGATGGTGTTCTTGGGGTCATAGGCAGCGTTCCTCCTCCTCCAAACACGGCGAGTTGAGTTGATGCCAAAGAGCTCAATTTTGGTCTCATCTGACCACAACACTTTCACCCAGTTCTCCTCTGAATCATTCAGATGTTCATTGGCAAACTTCAGACGGGCCTGTATATGTGCTTTCTTGTGCAGGGGGACCTTGTGGGCGCTGCAGGATTTCAGTCCTTCACGGCGTAGTGTGTTACCAATTGTTTTCTTGGTGACTATGGTCCCAGCTGCCTTGAGATCATTGACAAGATCCTCCCGTGTAGTTCTGGGCTGATTCCTCACCGTTCTCATGATCATCTTGCATGGAGCCCCAGGCCGAGGGAGATTGACAGTTCTTTTGTGTTTCTTCCATTTGCGAATAATCGCACTAACTGTTGTCACCTTCTCACCAAGCTGCTTGGCGATGGTCTTGTAGCCCATTCCAGCCTTGTGTAGGTCTACAATCTTGTCCCTGACATCCTTGGAGAGTTCTTTGGTCTTGGCCATGGTGGAGAGTTTGGAATCTGATTGATTGATTGCTTCTGTGGACAGGTGTCTTTTATTCAGGTAACAAGCTCGTTACCTGTATAAAAGACACCTGGGAGCCAGAAATCTTTCTGATTGAGAGGGGGTCAAATACTTATTTCCCTCATTAAAATGCAAATCAATTTATAACATTTTTGACATGCGTTTTTCTGGATTTTGTTGTTGTTATTCTGTCTCTCACTGTTCAAATAAACCTACCATTAAAAGTATAGACTGATCATTTCATCGTCAGTGGGCAAACGTACAAAATCAGCAGGGGATCTAACACTTTTTTCCCTCACTGTAACTGAAAACAAATTAAACAGGGAGGGACTACTCTTCATTTTACGTTTCCAAACATTTTGCTACGGTGAGCCCTACTGAACAAGAGTCAGGTATATTGTAAAATATACATACATACATGTTTCCCGGTTTCCTCAGGTTCAAGGCTAAGCTGTGGCTGTGTGAGTCCCATCCTCTGTCCCTAGCGGAGCAAGTGGCACCCATCATTGACCTCATGGCCATCTCCAATGCCCTCTTCGCCAAGCTCAGGGACTTCATTACCCTGCGACTGCCCCCTGGCTTCCCTGTCAAGATCGGTGAGGGAGTAGAGTACACTCTTATAACCAGATAGTTTGCTCTGCATCCTAGAGACTTGGCACATCATGGTAGTGAGAGTGGAGAGAAAGCGAGAGGGGGAGATTATCAAAAGTAGACCAGTGGTTTAAGGTACTTATGTAAAAAAACTTTAAAGTACTACTTAAGTCGAAAATTGTGCCGTCTGGTTTCCTTAATATAAGGAATTTGAAATTATTTATTATTTTGATACTTAAGTATATTTTAGGAATTACATTTACTTTTGATACTTAAGTATATTTACTTTTACTCAAGTAGTATTTTACTGGGTGACTTTCACTTTTACTTCAGTCATTTTCTATTAAGGTATCGTTACTTTTACTCAAGAATGACAATTGGGTACTTTTTCAACCAACAAAAGTTGACCCACCTGTCCTTATGTCAGGTTTGGCATTCTGGCTACTCCTTAAATTCATTCAGATGCTGCCTCAAATATGGTTAATTGGGATTTGCCCAAAATGTGGTCTTTTGAACTTTTAACATGTTTGGAATATTTACACCTATTGCACATTAATTATGAATCCAGTGATAATCGTAAATCCTAAACATCTCTGTCACTTCTCTTCCTCTTCTCAGAAATTCCCATCTATCACATCCTGAATGCCCGGATCACCTTTGGGAACCTGAACGGGTGCGAGGAGGGGTCGGTGACGGGGCCGGGCCAGGTGGAGGGGGAGGTGGACGGACAGAAGGACAGCAGCCCCAGGACTGACACAGACACCCCCTCCCCAGGCAGCGACTCTTCTAGTGTCTCCAGCTCCAGCTCCACGAGTGAGAAACACACACAACCCCCCCCACCCCCCAAACACACACACACTCAAAGACACACACACATACACTCTAGTGGAGGCTGCTGAGGGGAGGACGGCTCATAATAATGCTGTAACGGAGCAAATTAAAGGCATCAAACACATGGTAACCATGTGTTTGATGTATTTGATACCATTCCACTATTCCGCTCCAGCGATTACCATGAGCCCGTCCTCCCCAATTAAGGGGTTGATTGGACAGGAAAAACGTTTGACTCATAATAACATAACATAAGGGTCGTTCTTGAATTGAGGTGGGATTTGGGCATGACATTTTGGAAAAATATGAACTTCCTTTTTATTTAAATATATTTGGAAACATTTTCCCATTTTAAATACATCTAATATGGCAGCTTAATTACTTTAAATATGTTTGACCATTATGATAACATTGTGCCACCAGTAGGAGTAGTAACACCAATGATGGTAAAACGACCAATGACACATTTTAGGTAATTGAGGATTTTATTAAATGGAGACCACAGCTCAAATCTAACTCTTAGATGTTAAGTCCCCCATATGGTTCTGGACCGGTTCCGACTGACATTTTGGTGTACAAAGCATTCTGTGAACGCCGTAGGGTCCGTACCTTATAGCACCAAAAAGGCCCATCTGTCTGCTCTCCGTTTTCACTCCCCCAGCGGAGCTATATTTAGAAAACATTTCAGTCATTTCAAGCTCTATTGCCCCACTTTTGTTGAATAGGAAAAAAATCATAAATGTTTTCTCATATTTTCATAATATTTCTACTATGTGCTTGAGGTTGTGTCCTCAAATGTGAGTACACCTCAGCAATTTATAACTATTATTACCAGAAAGGTGAGTTCCAGACCTTTCTAAAACTATGCAGCATTACCAGTTGTTGTTTATGGCCATCTCATGAAAAATAATTACGTTTGGGCATGTCTATTTAGGCAGAAATCAAAATGTTTCCCTATCATTCAAGAGTAATTAACCTTTAAAAAATAATTTACTAAATAATATGATTAATCATTTTGCTCACAATGTAATTTTCCCTTCATTTAAATTGAGTACCACCAATGACACTTTGTATTTAAACATTACCAAATTATCATTAGAATCCTCAAATGTATGACATTCTAAAAGGGTGTGATTAGCTAATAATTGTTCTTTAATATAAACCCCTCCCCCGATAACCGTTTGCCACTGAAGGGGGTACTCAAGGTCCTTGTGTATCTTTGTAATGGATCTTTGTAATAAGTGAATTTAAAGGCTGTAACACCAATGACATAAAACTTAGTGACACGTTATATTTTTTAAATAAGGTATTTTAATAGCCTTCTTTGTTTTTTATTGGACTTTACAATATATAAAATACTTTTGTTTACTTTTTAGCATTCAAAATAATAGATAGATATCTCTATCCCAAAAACATGTCACTACAACTCTGCACATCGCTACTTGGACAAGCCAATTTGATTGTTCTAAGTACTTTAAACAATGCATAAACATAAAGGACTTCCATTATGTTGTATCACTGATTAACTGTTTAAAATTCCAAATAGTTACACATTATACATGTTTTGTTTATTTTAAACTGTTTTTGCTAAGGCAAGGGACGCAAATGCCACAGCAATTCAAGAATGACCCATAACATCCCTCCTGTCCTGTGTCTCATGCAGCGTCGTGTCGTGGAGGGGAGATCCCCCCGTGTGTGTTCGAGCCCCCTCAGGGTTATACTGTCCTGGGAGGCAACCAGAGGGACAACAACATGCGTGGTGATGAGGAGGAGGACCTGCTGCAGTTTGCCATCCAACAGAGTCTGCTGGAGGCTGGCTCCGAGTATGACCAGGTCAGACTCACTCTGGCCCCTCATAGGGCTTACTGCCATCTCAAAACCTGGCTCGTGTTCATTAAAGAACACAAAGGAATACGTTGGAAAAAATGTTACAATGGAAAATGTCCATGTAGTCCCTACATGTTTTAGTTTGTTTCCTGCCATTTGGTGCCTAATGAACACGAAGTATGGTATGATGGTAGTCCTCTTCGTTCCTAAGTGGAACATAAGGCATGGTATGGTTGTTTTGTAACCTTAACTCTAAAGTAATACCATATTTCGGGGGCTCGTTCGGGATGTTAATCAACTACAGGCACATCGCATTAGTAGTGTGTACAGTTTGCAAAGAGCTACAAATGCCAGATACACTGTAAAGACATGTTGTAAGTCTATCCTATCAGCTAGCTAGACAAACAGTTGACTCAGTATCCTAGGGCATAATCCAGTGTCAACATTGAGATTGAAACATTAAAATGACAAGAGCGTTTGGTGAGCCTTCTTGTTGACTTGATTGACTATCTCTCTGACTCTGTCTGTCTACTTTCTGGTGTGCATATAGGTGACCATCTGGGAGGCCCTGACCAACAGCAAGCCCAGCACACGTACTGTTCCCTGTGACCCCAGTCGGCTGCAAAGGTCTGCACTTTCTCTGCACTCGACTTGCTATCCTACTCAGCCTTTGTTTGCTTTAGCCTTGGCTCGCCATTCTCCAGCACACTGGAGGCTAGAGAGCTTCCTGGCTGCATTCACAGCACACAATTTCACTGTTGACTCACTCCCATTCATGCACACACTGTTGTCTTTGCCTGCACTCCCTGCACCTCATACACTAGATACACTCTGAGTGACAGGCCCCCACCTCATACAGTAGATACACTCTGAGTGACTGGCCCCCACCTCATACAGTAGATACACTCTGAGTGACTGGCCCCCACCTCATACAGTAGATACACTCTGAGTGACTGGCCCCCACCTCATACAGTAGATACACTCTGAGTGACTGGCCCCCACCTCATACAGTAGATACACTCTGAGTGACTGGCCCCCACCTCATACAGTAGATACACTCTGAGTGACTGGCCCCCACCTCATACAGTAGATACACTCTGAGTGACTGGCCCCCACCTCATACAGTAGATACACTCTGAGTGACTGGCCCCCAGTTCATACAGTAGATACATTCTGAGTGACTGGCCCCCACCTTATACAGTAGATACACTCGGAGTGACTGGCCCCCACTGATATACAGTAGATCTGCCTCTCTCCTGCATGCCCTCACTGGAAACAATACACTGGATGCTACATAAACTCAAACTAGCACAATTTAGTGTTGTGTGTGTGTGTGTTTGGTTTTACTATCCTTGTGAGGACCAGAAGTCCTCACATGGATAGTAAAACAAGGAAAATTCAGACAAGTGGGGACATTTCACCAGTCCCCACAAGGAAAAAGGCTCAGGGGTTAGGTTTAGGGTTACAATTAGGGTTAGGGGTTATGGTTAAGTTTAGGGTTTGGGGTTAAGGTTAGGGGTTAGGGAAAATTACGATTTTGAATGGGAATCAATTGTTTTGTCCTCAAAAGGATAGTAAAACAAACGTGTTTGTGGGTGTGTGTGTATTTGCATGCACACGACAACCCCTCTTTCTTACTCAAATTATGTCCTGTCAAAATAAATCTAGGTCCAGCATATTTTTCAACCATTTCCACTGTCACTGTCAATTCCTCAATTCTCCTTACACAATAACCAGGTTTCCCAACCCCATTGTCTCCTCCCACCCACCCTCCTCCTCCAGGACTCCCCAGCACAGGCCTTGCCCTCCAGCCAGTCTCTGTAACACGCCCACCAAGAAGCCCCCCACAGCCTGCAGCTACGACCAGCAGCTCCGCCTGGCCATGGAGCTGTCGGCTCGGGAGCAGGAAGAGGCCGAGCTACAGCGACGGCAAGAGGAGGAGGAGCTGCAGCGGATCATCCAGCTGTCACTCATGGAGAAATGAGAGCCTGATTGGCCAGATGGGCTGTAGGAGGTATGGGAGAGGAGGAGAAGGAGTAGGGTGGAGGTCCAGAGAGGGTAGTCAATAGGTTCACTCTACTCCTGGCTGTGACAGCCTTGCCTCCTCCGACCGTCCCATATCCCCTTTCCCACTGTGCTCCTTAAATAAGAGCCTGTCTGTGTGGCACAACAGGGCTCTACAGTGCTGATACAGCTACAGTACAGAGTCACTACTCTCTGGTGCCACTCTGCACTCACAGTCAGTGCAAGTTTACAACAAGAAACAAGAAGAAACACTTTTAATGGAATGCTACATTGACCGACCACATCAGTGGTGCTAGGGTAATACAAATTGTGTTTGTGTTTGAAGGCCATGCTTTAATAAACGGTCCTGTGTTTGGGGGATAGGGTTTGTGTCCACTTCACAGACCTGGGTCTTATTCATTAGGCACCAAACAAAAGAAAATGTAATGAAACAGGGACGGACTACCTGAAATTGTCCAATAAGAAACACTTGTTTTTGTTTACCGTTGCAAATCATTCTGCTATAGTGTGCCCTAATGAATACTCTGTGTGTGTGTCAGGTGGGTCGAGTGGGGTGGGATGTTGACATACCCTATTACTTCCTACTTTTTAATAGATTGCTACATTTTTTCCAAACTTTGATTTGCACAAAATTGAGACGTACTGTACTTAGACTGTGGATGGACTCTTGATGACTGTTTATGGTTCTAATAAGTAGATAGATAGAATAATACCCCTAAAGAGTTCATGTTAATATGTTAACCCTATAACAGGAGTTCATGTTAATATGTTAACCCTATCACAGGAGTTCATGTTAATATGTTAACCCTATGACAGGAGTTAATGTTCATATGATAACCCTATGACAGGAGCTCATGTTAAGATGTTAACCCTATGACAGGAGTTCATGTTAAGATGTTAACCCTATGTCAGGAGTTAATGTTAATATGTTAACCCTATGACAGGAGTTAATGTTAATATGTTAACCCTATGACAGGAGTTCATGTTAAGATGTTAACCCTATGACAGGAGTTCATGTTAAGATGTTAACCCTATGACAGGAGTTCATGTTAAGATGTTAACCCTATGACAGGAGTTAATGTTAATATGTTAACCCTATGACAGGAGTTCATGTTAATATGATAACCCTATGACAGGAGCTCATGTTATTATGATAACACTATGATAGGAGACTGGTCCGTAGGCAGCTAGTCTGTTCACAACGACAGGTGCAGCATCCTATACCTTTCAATGTGTACTGCCACTATACAGCTGCTGTTGCTCACCCTTTGGACTCCATAGGAGCTAATACAGTGAGGGAAAAAAGGATTTGATCCCCTGCTGATTTTGTACGTTTGCCCACTGACAAAGACATGATCAGTCTATAATTTTAATGGTATGTTTATTTGAACAGTGAGAGACAGAATAACAACAAAATAATCCAGAAGAATGCATGTCAAAAATGTTATAAATTGATTTGCATTTTAATGAGGGAAATAAGTATTTGACCCCCTCTCAATCAGAAAGATTTCTGGCTCCCAGGTGTCTTTTATACAGGTAACGAGCTGAGATTAGGAGCACACTCTTAAAGGGAGTGCTCCTAATCTCAGTTTATTACCTGTATAAAAGACACCTGTCCACAGAAGCAATCAATCAATCAGATTCCAAACTCTCCACCATGGCCAAGACCAAAGAGCTCTCCAAGGATGTCAGGGACAAGATTGTAGACCTACACAAGGCTGGAATGGGCTACAAGACCATCGCCAAGCAGCTTTGTGAGAAGGTGACAACAGTTGGTGCAATTATTCGCAAATGGAAGAAACACAAAAGAGCTGTCAATCTCCCTCGGCCTGGGGCTCCATGCAAGATCTCACCTCGTGGAGTTGCAATGATCATGAGAACGGTGAGGAATCAACCCAGAACTACACGGGAGGATCTTGTTTATGATCTCAAGCCAGCTGGGACCATAGTCACCAAGAAAACAATTGGTAACACACTACGCCGTGAAGGACTGAAATCCTGCAGCGCCCGCAAGGTCCCCCTGCTCAAGAAAGCACATATACAGGCCCGTCTGAAGTTTGCCAATGAACATCTGAATGATTCAGAGGAGAACTGGGTGAAAGTGTTGTGGTCAGATGAGACTCGAGCTCTTTGGCATCAACTCAACTCGCCGTGTTCGGAGGAGGAGGAATGAAGCCTATGACCCCAAGAACACCATCCCCACCGTCAAACATGGAAACATTATGCTTTGGGGGTGTTTTTCTGCTAAGGGGACAGGACAACTTCACCGACCGCATCAAAGGGATGATGGACGGCGCCATGTACCGTCAAATCTTGGGTGAGAACCTCCTTCCCTCAGCCAGGGCATTGAAAATGGGTCGTGGATGGGTATTCCAGCATGACAATGACCCAAAACACACGGCCAAGCCAACAAAGGAGTGGCTCAAGAAGAAGCACATTAAGGTCCTGGAGTGGCCTAGCCAGTCTCCAGACCTTAATCCCATAGAAAATCTGTGGAGGGAGCTGAAGGTTCGAGTTGCCAAACGTCAGGCTCGAAACCTTAATGACTTGGAGAAGATCTGCAAAGAGGAGTGGGACAAAATCCCTCCTGAGATGTGTGCAAACCTGGTGGCCAACTACAAGAAACGTCTGACCTCTAGGGTTTTGCCACCAAGTACTAAGTCATGTTTTGCAGAGGGGTCAAATACTTATTTCCCTCATTAAAATGCAAATCAATTTATAACATTTTTGCCATGCGTTTTTCTGGATTTCTTTGTTGTTATTCTGTCTCTCACTGTTCAAATAAACCTACCATTCAAATTATAGACTGATCATGTCTTTGTCAGTGGGCAAACGTACAAAATCAGCAGGGGATCAAATACTTTTTTCCCTCACTGTATAACTATGACCAACACTATATGGCTACACATAAATGAATATACACTGAACAAAAATATAAACGCAACATGCAACAATTTCAACGTTTTTACTGAGTTACAGTTCATATAAGGAAATTAGTCAATTTAAATAAATTCAGTAGGCCCTAATCTACGGATTTCACATGACTGTGAATACAGATATGCATCTGTTGGTCACAGATACCTTAAAATAAAAGTAGGGGCGTGGATCAGAAAACCAGTCAGTATCTGGTGTGACCACCATTTGCCTCATGCAGCGCAACACATCTCCTTCGCATAGAGTTGATCAGGCTGTTGATTGTGGCCTGTGGAATGTTGTCCCACTCCTCTTCAATGGCTGTGTGAAGTTGCTGGATAACGTACACGTCGATCCAGAGCATCCCAAACATGCTCTATGGTTGACATGTCTGGTGAGTATGCAGGCCATGGAAGAACTGGGACATTTCCAGCTTCCAGGAATTGTGTACAGATCCTTGCGACATGGAGCCGTGCATTATCATGCTGAAACATGAGGTGATGGCGACAGATGAATGCCACGACAATGGGCCTCAGGATCGCGTCATGGTATCTCTGTGCATTCAAATTGACATCGATAAAATGCAATTGTGTTAATTGTCTGTAGTTTATGCCTGCCCATACCATAACCCCACTGCCACCATGGGGCACTTTGTTCATAACGTTGACATCAGCAAAACGCTCGCCCACACGACGCCATACACACTGTTTGCCATCTGCCCGGTACAGTTGAAACCGGGATTCATCCGTGAAGAGCACACTTCTCCAGCATGCCAGTGGCCATCGAAGGTGAGCATTTGCCCACTGAAGTCGGTTACGATGCCGAACTGCAGTCAGGTCAAGACCCTTGTGAGGACAACGAGCACGCAGATGAGCTTCCCTGAGACGGTTTCTGACAGTTTGTGCAGAAATTCTTTGGTTGTGCAAAACCCACAGTTTCATCAGTTGTCCGGGTGGTTGGTCTCAGACGATCCCGCAGGTGAAGAAGCCGGATGTGGAGGTCCTGGACTGGCGTGGTTACACGTGGTCAGCGGTTGTGAGGCTGGTTGGACGTACTGCTAAAAAAATATATAATGACGTTGGAGGTTTATGGTAGAGAAATGAACATTACATGAAGCCGCCATTTTGGTACTCCATCGTAAAAAGGTTTTGGAAGCTATAGAAATGCATTTGTCTACATTCGTTTTTGACAAGTAAATTCTATTAGACTCCTTAATGCATACTTTTAAATTATATTATGAGAATTTAACTAAAAAAATATATAAAAACATTATTTAAAGTTATTATTTTTTTATAGAGTACTAATGTTACTATCCCCACTACAACTAAGAAATGGTTAAATACATATCATTTTGTCTTTTTATTGAAATACTGTAGAATTCCATTCATTCCTATGGAGGACTGCTCCTTCTGAGGAGTACCATAATGGCGGCCGGTGGCCTCTCATTGGCTATTACATAGCATCAGCAATCCAGGGTTTATACACATCATTGGGTGATTGATACCCTACCTACATTGTCCAGTATCTACTAGCCAGCTCACCTACTGACTGAGAAGTGAAAGCACAGCACAAGCACAGCCTAGGAACCAAACAGAGAGCAGCATTCACATCCACCTTTATCTTCAAAAACAAATCTGATTTTGCTGGTAGTGCTGCAACGTACTTGACATCATTTCACGCCACGGGTAACAGTTTACAGTGACAACCAAGGGCCCTTTGGCTCCTGTTATTTTGGGAAGACAAGGAGGACAACACTGCAATGAAGTGTGCCATGATATGTCCCATCCAGCCAAATAATCCCAATTTGATTCAGCTGTCGGCTGTCTGGAATAGTGGCAACCTCAACGAATAACATTAAAAACCCTAAGAGGGCTCAGTGCTGCAAATGTGTGGAGAATCTTTAAAAAGACGGAGGATAAATAACATATGCATCCCAAATGCGAAATGGCACCCTATTCCCTATATACTGCACTACTTTTGACAAGGGCCCATATGGCTCTGGCCAAAAGTTGTGCACTATGTAGTGAATAGGGTGCCATTTGGGACGCATCCACCATCTTCAGTATGCAGGAGGGAGCTACGCCAAACATCTGCACCAAGGATGAGACACTTCATTTAAAAACACTCTCCTCTCAGTTATTGACATTGGGGAGGGCAAATATTGAACTTCATAAGAAACCCATTAAAATGTTTTGGTGTACTATTTCATAAATATTTCAACATTTTAGTTCAACTACTGAGTTTTAGGGGCAGGCGTTACATTTCATTCATATGAGGCAGATTCTTTGAAAGCTTTCCAATATGACAGCACCCTGTGTATATCAGATGCTATGTCATCTGGGATGCTGGCAACCTAAATCTCAGACTATTTTAATTAAACCGATGAACCGGGGGAGTAAAATTGTCAGTGTTAAATATTCTGCAGTGCAGACTTCACTACCTTAGGGAAACATTACTTACATGTAGAGGCTGGATATTTCAGTTAGTGGTGCTTTTTCAATTCCTATTTCCTCACCTCCTCAAAAGAGGAAGGTGAGGAGATAGGATGCGAGGAATCACGGAAAGCCAAAATGAGGTAGAGCCAGCCAGTGTCTCCTCCCCAACTTAACTTGCACTTCCTGTCCTGTCCACATGGGGGATGTCAAGACATAGATCCTCAATATAAGGCGGGGCCATTGAAACCAGGGCTTTGAGCAGGGCACATAGAAATATGTTATGTAGAACAAACATGCCTCTGACATGTAGAATAAGGAACCATGTCTCTATTCAGGACATTCCTATCTGCAACGCTCCACAACATTTACAACTGAACGCAGTGCACCCCAGTGGATCTCTTCTAAAATACCCTCCTCTTGATTTCAATAAGGAATCACAGGAGTCATGATGTATGTACTTTTGTTTCTTTAATAGTCACAGCTAAGAACAGGATAAAAAAAGAATATCAACTTTGTCTTGTTTAAAATAAGAATAAAGGACGTGACTTACACTTCTCTTCACATACAACAGATACACACAGACAGGCTACCATAGAATCAGTGCAAAAATACTCCCCAGGTAAAAACAACTTTAAAAAAAGATTAAAACAGGAGTAAAGTGCATGTTTTTTGAGAAACAGCCCCCTCATTTTAGTTGTAGAAATTACAACTGTTTTAGAAACCATAAATGGGAGGGGGGAGGGGGGAGACGCACCTACAGTAACAGACAAACCTCCACATACTTAGCATTCACCTGAATATACACGGACCACAAGTCCACACTAACAGATTACATAGGGTCCAACACAGCTAGTCAGCGCACACACACACACACACTACAGACAAGGGCCCAAGGGAGACAGTCTGGACCATAGTGCACATGTAGGGCCTAGGCCACCACACACACACATTCTCGCACACATACACACTCATAGACACCCTCGGCCTAGGGCCGAGTACAGTGAGGTCACATGGTGTTGTAGAGCACAGTGGAAGGCCGTTTCTTGTCTGCAGCCTTGCGGAGCCGCCGCAGCGGGTGACTCTTCCCGCAGGGCTGCTGCTGCGTGGTTGTCATAGTGACGTCGGGAGCGCTCTTCGGGGACTGGTTGCGGGTGAGCCGGGGGGAGAGGTCTGTCTCTAGCTCCTCCTCCCCTTGAAGAACAAGAGATGGAGGTGAGGAGGGAGAGGGGGGATCACTCCCTGCATTCTGGGAGCCCCTATCAGTCCTGTCTGGGTCCAGTGGGTACACCCCCCCTAAGGGGGCCCTGGGGGTGATGGGGGGGCTCCGGGACAACACCCGCTGCTTCTTGGAGACATCGTCTAAGCTGGGATGATGGTGGTAGCGGGAGTGAGGGGTGGGCATCAATGGGGGTCCGTGAGGGCTGGCGGAGGTGGGCCGTAGGTCCCAGTCACTCAGGTCATTGGCTGACAGCTCCAGGCAGTCCAGCTTGGCCAGCGAGGCTGAGCGCTTCATCAGGGAAGGGGGCGTGAGGCCCGCCTGGCGGATCCGCGACTCGATCTCCATGGCCCTCTGCCATACGGGCGTCTCCCTGTGATGCTGCCCCTGACCAGGTCTCACTCCAGTCCCCAGTCCCAGGCCCCCCGCCTCGTACAGGAAGGCCTGCAGCTCCCTCAGGGTCTCCTGGATCTTCTCCAGCTCCTCACTGCTGCGTGCCAGGGCCAGCCTTCCGTGGTGGGGCGGGGGAGGGGAGGGGCCATCCGTGTCTGAGTCCTGGGCCGTCACCCCCTCCAGCCACAGCAGTACGGGGGAGTGGGAGGCCTGAGGCAGGGCCATAGATGGCTCCACAGAAGGGCACACGATGATTGGGATGGGCTCAGGGGTGTGGCGGGCGTCTGGGTAGTGAGAGAAGGAAGGGGCTGGGGCTGGGGCAATGTCCATGTCTGAGACGACAAACCCTCCCTGCTCTGTCTCTCTGGTTAACTCTGTCTCTCCTTTGGGCTCTGCAGACACAGTGAAAGTCTCGTTCAGAGTTCTTCCTTGCTCAGGAGCAGGGGTAGGCCTATGCTGCTCGGGGCAGTCTGTGGTAGGAGTGAGGAGGGGTGGGCAGTCAGTGCTTGTCGTATGGAGAGGGGAGCACGTGGGGTGGAACTCTGCACTGGGGGAGTGGAGAGGGGAGCGCTGGGTAGACGTGTTGCTGAGCGGTAAGTCCAGCTCCTGCCTCAGCCTTTGCTCCAGCTGTTTGGTGGCCCTGCGCACCGAGCCGGCCGGCCAATCCGAGGGAGGCGTGGAGGGGGACTGTGGATAGGAGGAGGGCGAGGTCAGTGGGGTCTCCTCGTCCCGGTCGTCTGGGCGCAGCTGCTGAGGGCTGCGGGGGGCCGGCTGGGTGGAGGAGAGTGGCGCCGCTGCCGGGGGGTGGCATATGGACTCTATCTCCGTGACGATATGGCGGACTGACACGCCGTTGTCGTGACTGGATCGGTCGCTACCGTCCTCCGTATGGGGGGAACTCTGAGATAGAGACGGAACAGAGAGAATAGTTTGAATGTCTGCTTTGAATGATATCTAAGCACAGTTAACTTGGTATTAATGCTGGAGCGTCACTAAAAGCTACCAAAATACATTTTACAGAAAGAAAGAGAATGACGCCACCATTACAAAGTCTGTAGACAACAGCTGTCTAAAAGGTCTGGGGCCGTATCAAGCGCCTCAGAGTGCTGATCTAGGATCAAGTCCCCCTGTCAAGATAATCTTATTAATTGTGATCTAAAAGACAGAACTGATCCTAAAATCAGCACTCCTAGTCTGAGACGCTTGATACATAGGGCCTCTGATAAACAAGCTTAACATATTAGCAATGGAAACTGATCATATGTAAAGGTTCTTCCAATAGGTGGCAGTATTGTACAAACCATCCCCAAAGACACATCATTGTGTTGCTCCCTCCCTATCTAATGGATTAGTGAATTAGATCACAATCCATTCGATCGACTGTCTCCGTTGAGTACTGTAATCTTGTTAAATCACTCAGTAACTCTCAGCAGGGCTGTGGCGCTCTGAAGTCCATAGATAAATGACACTACAGGAGGCTGGCATTCATCATTCAAAGTCATTTCAGTGTAAATAAAATAAAATGGCCGCCTCACCTTTCCCTGCTCCTCTTCCTCGGGGCTTGGCAGTGTTGGCAGTGCTCCAGCAGGGTTCTCGGGGGACAGCGGCTGCAGCTCCTGGCTGGGGCACCGCGACTGAGGCGTCCGCTGAGCCATCTGCTCGGAAAGAGTCTGGGCCTTTCCGTCTTGGGACAGGCCCAGAAATTTCTCGCGGGCGCTGAAGAAGTCGATGCTGTCCGTGCTGAGGTTGGAGGACGCGGTAACGCATGTGGCGTCGACGGGGTTAGCGAGGATAGTGTCTGTGTCACCGCCGCCGCTGGGGTTGTTGTTGTCATCGTTGGCGTAGGGTCCTAAAGACAGAGGCGTTATTGGGGTGAGAGGGCTCACGGCCACGGGGATCCCTGGGGACGCCATACTGACACTGTCCCCCCTCTCGCTCAGCGGGTCTGACAGGGTGTCCGAGTCATCGCTGGACTCCAGGGTGGCTTGAGATACGACTTCAGAGCTGCTGAGGTCAGGCAGATCGAGGGCCAGCGCTACACACTGGGCTTTCTGTTTAGGTACAGGACTGGACAGCTGTGTGCTCAAACCTAGATGGAGGGATTTGGCCAGTGGCTGGGGGAAGGGAGAAGGAGGGAGGATATGCAGTGAGGGGGGAGGATGAGGGACGGCAGTGACTGGCACCGTCACGGCCACCAGCGCCGAGTTGTCCATTCTCTCCTCGGGCACCACCGTGGCCGCCCGCGGCCTAGGCAGCGGCGGGAGGAAGGGGTCCTGGTGGGGTCTTCGCCCTCGAGAATATAGGTTCTCCCGGGAGTCACACAGACCGTCGGAGGCTGATGGGCCAGGAGGGTGGGAGTGTGAGCGGGTGAGTCGGACGGGCTCCGAGTGTGTGTCTGAGATGTGGGCGCCCTCGGTCTTGTTGTCAGGGTCATTGGCGGCTCCAAGCGCCTGGAGCAGGAAGTGTTGCAGGTAGGGCGTGGGGCCATTGTGTTGTTGTGGGGGTCCGAGCGGCCCAGGGAGTGGCTGTGAGGGCCCGTTTACACAGCGGAGATTCGTGGCGCTCTGAGAGGTCGCTGTCCGAGTGGGAGCGCCACAACTTGTTGTGCCTCTGTTTACTGCAGAGAAAGACGGATGAAAGATGAGAAGAAACAAACACAAATCGTACATTTGTCTTCATTCCATCATGTACACTGAAAATAGTCAATGCAGAGCCAGGTGTCTGTGTGAGAGCTGTGTGTGTGTGTGGCCCAGGTTGTGAGAGCTGTGTGTGTGTGTGGCCCAGGTTGTGAGAGCTGTGTGTGTGCGCGTCTGTGCTCTCCTGTGCCTACCTGGCCAGCAGGATACCCTGGTACTCCTCCAGCTGCTTCATGAAGGAAGGGTTGGGCTTGGTGACGGCGCGGCGCTCCTTGACGTAATCGAAGGCCTTCTCCAGGTCCCAGCCGTACTCCTTCATGGCGTAGGCTATCACCGTGGAGGCAGAGCGACTCACACCCATCTTACAGTGGACCAGGCACTTAGCCCCTGCTTTCCTTATAGGGGGACACAGGGCATTGGGTTAGAGGAGAGGGAGTACACAGGAGGACAAAGACAGGCATGCAGAGGACAAACTGATTATGATATACAGTATTGTATCTTGTATTGATATAATGTCTTATGGTATACACCCTTCCAACCCAACTCAACCTCAAAGCCAGTTCCACTGCTTGTTTTCATTGTTGTCCTCTAATCAGGGACTTATTTAGACCTGAGACAACAGGTGGGTGCAAATAATGATCAGGTAGAACATCAAACCAGCAGGCTCCGGACCTCGTAGAGTCAGAGTTGAATACCCCGTTATAGATAACTTGCTAAAAAGAACAATGCTAAAAACAAATATGCAAAAAAAATTAAACTTAACAAAAACAGTTCTAAAATGAAAGAGAATCCTCTTAAAACCTACTTAATAATACTACATTTTATTCGACAGATGCCTTTCAAGACACTCAAGGACACCTAATTAAGTGCATCAAATCAGAGTGCTTACTTGGCCTTGGTGATGAACTTGTAGGTGTCGTTCCAGTACTCCAGCAGGTTGGTGGCCTCCTCATCGTACACGCGGATGTTGTGGTACTCAAACATGCCTGGGAAGAAGTTGTCAATCTCCCGCGTCACGTTGAGGATGTACCTCACACTGAAGGAGTGAAACGGAGAACGTTACTCGTTGTAACTTCTACTCATTACTGAAACTGTGCTGTAACTATCACAGTAACCAACAGTCTGACATGATCATAGGCAACTCAGAATGGTCTCTTACCCGCTGTTCTGCAGCTCCTCCAAGTTAGAAGCGTTCCACTCAGAGCCCTGGACACAAAACAGAATTCAGTCAAACTCGACAGATTATATTAAGGATATCAGCAACAGACAAACAGGCAGAAAAAGGGACAAAAAGAGCAAGACGACTTAAAAGTAGTGCACTATATAGGGAATAGGGTGCCATGCAGTCCTTGACCGCGTTCTTACCAGGTAAACATGGTCAAAGATCTCCGTGGGGCTGTCCATCTGGCCCAGGATGACTATCATCTCGTTGTCAATAAACTCCTTGAACTCCCGAAGGTTGCACACCATCTGCATCTCCAGCTCTGTGCGAATCTGAAGAACCAGTAAAAAACCCATTAGAACCAGTAAAGAACCCATTAGAACCAGTAGAGAACCCATTAGAACCAGTAGAGAACCCATTAGAACCAGTAGAGAACCCATTATAACCAGTATATAACCTGTTAGAACCAGTAGTGTGTGTGTGTGCCAACGTCTTTCACCCACCTCTTTGGAGGTGACATTCTCCAGGTCTTTCTGCATCATAATCTCTCTGAGGCGAGTCTTGATCAACCTCTCCGTGCGCTCCCTCTCTGTGGGCCTGTGGACACACAAGAAACACACACCCTAAGTACACCTCTCAGGACACACACACACATCAGTCTACCTCAGAAGGTTATGGGGGCTCAATTTACCGCTCACCCAGAACAGCTTCACACACACCACACTAAATATGACTTACAGGAACTCACTAAAGCCACTTAGCGCCTCTGGTTTGAAAAGAGCAAAAACTGTCTCCACATCATACAAATCCACAGAACTCAGTTGAAGTCCAGATTTTATGTTCTTGTTATAATGACGAGTCCCTGCCCTCCCCTCTCTCTCTAACTGCATTTAGAGGACACATTTAGCCACTTGCGCAGCGCTAAGGGCAACATGCCCTGATTAGGTCCCATGAGACCCCCTTCTGTTCTTCCCCCCTCTCTCGCTCTGTTCCCTCTATCACACTCTCTATCCCCCATCCCTGTCGGTTGCCCCTCTCTCTTTCCCTCTGTTCCCCCTCTCTCTTTCCTCCCTCCATCCCTGACGGTTGCCCCTCTCTCTTTCCCTCTGTTCCCCCTCTCTTCCCTCCCTCCATCCCCGTCGGTTGCCCCTCTCTCTTTCCCTCTGTTCCCCCTCTCTCTTCCCTCCCTCCATCCCCGTCGGTTGCCCCTCTCTCTTTCCCTCTGTTCCCCCTCTCTCTTCCCTCCCTCCATCCCCGTCGGTTGCCCCTCTCTCTCTTTCCTCTCTCCATCCCTGTCGGTTGCTCCTCTCTCTTTCCCTCTGTTCCCCCTCTCTCTTTCCTCCCTCCATCCCTGACGGTTGCCCCTCTCTCTTTCCCTCTGTTCCCCCTCTCTCTCTCTTTCCTCCCTCCATCCCTGACAGTTGCCCCTCTCTTTCCCTCTGTTCCCCCTCTCTCTTTCGCTCCCTCTCCAACCAAATCACCTCTCTTCACAATTTACACCGCAATGTAGGTCAGTGGCTATGCTCCCACAACAGTCAACATGATTGTGCAGCAGCAGCAGGTGTGTGTTGGGTCTTTGTGTTGTTGTCCCAGTCTGATGACCCGTCATGCTTATTATGATGACACGTCCTTATTGGAACATCAGAAAGAGCCAGGGGTAGCTTGTTTATAGAAACAAAGACTTGATTGACCTCTTGAGGAAAGGGTTTGGGCACTTGAAACTTGTTGCACCTTCCAAGAAGAGACCGAGCTACTGCCGGGGTTGGGTTACTGGCTATGCCAGGAGAGTCTGAGCTCTCTGAATAGCACACGCACGTGCCAATGAACACAAGGATAGGGGTCAGGAAGTACACTCGGAATTGGAATCCATTGGAATTTCAGTTGAACACCTGAATTGAAATGGAATTGACCCCAACACACTACAGTCATAAGCACTACACTGTATGCAACTACACACATTCAACCTCTATCGCACATATTTGCAGGGACAAATGTGGGTCAAATCCTCCACGTCAGAGCGAGCCCTCAATACTGAATAAAATGAATGTGTAAAAAGCAAAGGCAAATATGACGTCTGTCTGTCATCGACAGGTATCTTAGCTTTGGCAGTGACCCCAACAGGATTGACTAACACTCGCATTGTCTGCCTTTAAGTGTGTGTGCAAAGTACCCAAGCCTAACCAGGGTGTGTGTGTGTGTGTACATATTTCCACTGCATGGCTAGGCTTAAGGCTAGCTGGGACGTTTGATGTCAATGCGGAGGGAGAGGCTTACTCTCATCTCTCCAGTAAAATACCTTTAAACGGTTTGGGTTTGACCTCTTTCCCCAGCCTCGGTGTCACTCAGTCAATTCCTCCACTTAAAATGTCTTCCAACGTGTTTGAGTGCTATTATTTCTACTCAATTACCCCCCCTGTCATCCTTCCATCCTCTCCTTCGCTCCGACTGCCCTCGGCCACCTGCTTCTGTCCATCCGTCCGCTCGTCTACCTATCTGTCTAGCAACTTTTTCCATGCATAACTAAAGCTGTCACGGAGAGCGGGCTATTTTAGACGCTGCTGGCATGCACGCCTAGTTCTGGCGTTATAGATAGGCCCCCCTAAACGAGCAGGAACACCTGATTGCTTCTGGGTGGGGAATTTCCCCGGTTAATACAGACATAAATCTCCGAGCTGCATCCTCTTGCTACAGCAGATTGTTGATATCTCGGTCATGACGAGGTAATGCTGAGAGCTCTGTGTGTGTTTGACCTCTGGTCTCTAAGGCAAAGATCGCAGGGGTCCTGGGAAGTCTGCCTGAAGCTGGGTGTTGTGGCAACAAGGGAAGCAGATGAGACTGCACTGGTAATTGGGCAATGTTGTTTTCTTTGGGAGAGAAGTTGGTATGAGTCCAGGTGACCTAACCCTCACAAGACCTCACTACAGTTGCTTAATATGGAAGTGTGTGTGTGACTGACTGGTACACTCACACGTCGGTGAAGAGGACGGGCGAGTTGGCGCGGTGGGACTGGACGTCCTGCATGGCGTTCCACTCGTTGATGCAGACCTGGTCAGAGGAGACCTGGCTCTGGTAGTAGCTGACCCAGGTCAGGAACAGGCTGCCAGGGTAGTAGTTGTGACAGCGGGCCACTTCGCACGCCTTGTGGAGCGACTGCAGGGCAGACCTGGGGGGCACAGGGGGAGGTGGAGAGGTAAGAAGAGGAGGGGGAAGGAGAGAAAGGGAGGAAGAGGGAGAGAGAGAGTGATAACAGGATAAACAACAGATAAAAGAGGGGACAAGTCAGAGTAAACGAGAGGGGGATGAGATGACAGGAGAGAAAGGAGGAGTGCTCACCACATGGCCTGGACAGAGACTGGTTTGAAGACATGGACCCTGTTGACCGTGGACACACTGAAGCCCCTACAGAGACAGACAGAGACAAACAGACAGGTTATGTGACAGTCCCACTGGGCAGAAGAACTACAGTTAATGCAGGAAGGAGGAAACGGGTGTAGTATCGCTCTTCTTACCCATCTCCATCCAAGTGGATCAGTGTGTCGCTCCACAGGGGTAGAACCAGCCCCACTGTGCATGAGCTGTAGGAGAAGAATACACAGCTGTTAAAGATGTTACACACACCTCCAAAGAGGTGGGTCTCTCTAACACACACACACACACCGCATGCAGTGGTACTAACTACTAACCTGTCTGAGGAGCCAAAGTCCATGCCCAGCACCACACTCTCCTCTGTGTCCTGTCTCCCATTGGTGGACACCACCACCATGTAGCGCGTGCCCTGAGGCTGAGCGTACGCGCTCTCCAGGCGCACAGCCTTAGGGAAGACGAGAGCGAGAGAGGGAGAAGAATAACCCCTGATCAATCCCTCTGCTTTTGGAAGTATTCATCAGAATAGTTCTAGACTCATTTATCTGCCATGTGAATGAATATGAATGTGAAGCGAGAGTGAGATGACGTACCAGGCGGATGTTGTCTTCTGGCCGCAGCACAGTGAACATGGTCTGCAGGTGCTGCTGGAGGTCACCTGAGGAAGGAAAGAGAAAGAGCGAGCGAGACAAAGAGTTCAGTTCACTAGCAGTATCGTACACATTGCACGCCATCTGCTCCTACTCATTCCTCCTCTGGGTGAAGTTAGTCCACCTTATGCAGACATACAAAAAGACAGTTTGTCTGATTAAACACTTCTAGAAACTCCAAATACAGCTCGGAAAAACATTTACATTCAAATGCAGCCGAAGTAACAGAAAGTGTCCTTCACTTGAGAGCGTTTTCCCACAATTACTACTACAAGGGCCAAAAGGACATTTGTCACTAAAAACAAGAAAAATAAAATGCATCTAGGGCTGGTACATCCTACTAACAGAGTTGGGAAAATCTCCTAGCAAACCTAGCAGAGCAGAGAGTAGCCTTCCCACAAGTACAGGCACACACACTTACAACAATTATCTCTGCCCTTGAGCACAAGGACACTGGTATGGAAAAACACACGCCTAAATAGCAACTCTATGGCAGCATGCAGTCAGTGGACCACCTGTGTCATATTGTAACAGATATGGGGTCAATTGAACTGGACAGCTCTGCTCTGGTGCAAGTGTTGGTTCCCTCAACACTGTAGAATGCCTGCTGCATTCCAATGATAAGCAGCACTATGGTTTGGCCTCATGTTGGGGCAGTGTCAGTTTCCCATGAGTCTGTGTTGAGTATTGGGGTGCGTTCAACACGACAATGTTGTGGAACATTTCTATGTTATAAAGAGCTGAACAGACAGGCCTCTCTGACATGTGAAGTAAAGTATCATGTTGGCTCTATTTGTGGCATTTCTATCTGCAACGTTCCATAACATTTTCCTACTGAACTCACCCCTGTCCTATGGTTGTCTGTTTGTTGGTTGGTTTATTGTCAGTCAGTCAGTCAGTCAGTCAGTCCATCCATTAGTGGGAGGGCATACCTGTGTGTTTATTCCGCCGCTGGCTGATGTTGGGCGCCGAGGAAGGGGAGGAGCCATTTCCCCGAGGCAGGAAGACGGCGGCGCCCTTCACCGTCAGGAAGCTCTCGCTGATGCTAATTGGAGAGAGAAAACACAGGGTCACAGATGGGCCAGAGACAGACGCTAACAGAACGTTCCGGGCTAGGGATTCACACACACACAGAGCTTTAATCTTCATAAGTCAGTTTGAAGAGCAACAACAGCATGTGGTCCAGGCGGCAGCTACTACTCAGTCTGTGTAGCTACATGTAATAAACAGCCACGTGCACTCCAACACAGAACACAATGTTCCCCTCTGGCCAGGACGCATCCCCCTAACAGCTGGGGGCTGGAGGCTGGAGGCTGGAGGCTGGAGGCTGGAGGCTAGGGGTAGAGCTGAGGGGCAGTTAGAGCCCCCCCACGCTCCTCCCTTGCACAGCTGGCTCAGACAGAGCAGAGCTCCCGCTGTGGTGCCACATAATCACATTAACTATAGTACACAGCACACCATCACACTAGAACAATTGGCGAGGTCACACGATCTACAGGGGATACTAGCTGATGGAGAGTGTGTGTGTGTGTGTGTGTGTGTGTGTGCGCGTACACGAGTGTGTAGCCTATATCTCCACAACACAGAACATATACTCTACAGAATCTCACACGGTGGCACACTGACCTTAACTCAAATCATTAAAGGGCGAGGAGACCTACTGAAGACTTAAAGTGACAGGTGACTGATATAGGCCTTGGCTACCAAAAGACACCATGTGCCTCATTGGCCCTCATGTGAAGTGTGTCTTGATGAAGAGCTGCTACTAGGCTAAACCTTCTGTAACAACCCTGCCCCAAGTACTGCTCTACATCTACAGTCAGCCTCATTTCCACCACACAATCACATCTACCGTGGATGATTGGGAGGCACAGAGTCAGTACTGTCTGTGTCCTCCGGTCCTTCCTCACAGACAGACACAGGATGGGGAAATTTGCAACGATGAGCCGAATAGCAGAAGCATGGGGGTGACGTGCTAGAGAGGCTGTGCAATCTGAGGAGTGAGGGGACACATCTGGACCAGAAGCAGAACGAAAACAAACCAAGAGCGAGCTCATTTCCCTTCCTGACCCACTCACCCCTGACCCAGCTGTTTCCTCCTTCTACTTCACCCTTCCTCTCTCTTTCGTCATACCTCGCTCTTTCGTCATACCTCGCTCTTTCGTCATACCTCGCTCTTTCTTCATACCGCTCTCTTTCTTCATACCGCTCTCTTTCTTCATACCGCTCTCTTTCGTCATACCTCTCTTTCGTCATACCTCTCTCTTTCGTCATACCTCTCTCTTTCTTCATACCTCTCTCTTTCTTCATACCTCTCTCTTTCTTCATACCTCTCTCTTTCTTCATACCTCTCTCCGTTTCACGCATACTGTACAGCTGTATCTAATAATGTGTGAACCATGGGGTTTAGCACACACCCGCACAGGGCAGGAAGGAGGAGGAGGAGCGCAGCACCTCACATGGTGTGTCCAGTATGTTCGTGAGTGCGTGTGCGAGAGAGAGAGTAAAGCATTCACCTTGCGTTTTCCACTACGAGACACTTGAAATTGATGAGTAGCTTTCAGAAACAGACAGACAGAACCACAGGCAGCAGACAGACAGTGCAAAGCTCCAGCAGGCAGCAGCAGCACACAATGCCAAGTGTAATACAACACTGACCCCTTAGCGGAGAGCTTTGCTTTGCACCTCCCGCCAGCGTAGGAATCCAAAACTAGGTAGCCAGACATACAGTACCAGTCAAAAGTTACACATCTACTCATTCAAGGGTTTCTCTTTATTTGTACTATTTTTTTATTTTGTAGAATAACAGTGAAGACATCAAAACTATGAAATAACACATATAGAATCATGTAGTAACCAAAATATATTTGAGATTCTTCAAATAGCCACCCTTTGCCTTGATGACAGCTTTGCACACTCTTGGCATTCTCTCAACCAGCTTCATGGAGGTAGTCACCTGAAATGCATTTCAATTATAAGGTGTGCCTTCTTAACAGTTAATTTGTGGAATTTCTTTCCTTCCTAATGTGTTTGAGCCATTTAGTTGTGTTGTGACAAGGTAGGGGGGTATACAGAAGATATCCCTATATGGTAAAAGACTAAGTCCATATTATGTCAAGAACACCTAAAATAAGCAAACAGAAACGACAGTCCATCATTACTTTAGGACATGAAGGTCAGTCAATACGGAAAATGTCAAGAACTTTGAAAGTTTCTTTAAGTGCAGTCACAAAAACCATCAAGCGCTATGATGAAATTGGCTCTCATGAGGACCGCCACAGGAATGGAAGTTACCTCTGCTGCAGAGGATAAGTTCATTAGAGTTACCAGCCTCAGAAATTGCAGCCCAAATAAATGCTTCAGAGTTCAACTAACAGACACATCTCAACATCAACTGTTCAGAGGAGACTGTGTGAATCATGCCTTCATGGTCAAATTGCTGCAAAGAAACCACTACTAAAGGACACCAATAATAAGAAGAGACTTGCTTGGGCCAAGAAACACGAGCAATGGACATTAGACTGGTGGAATTGTGTCCTTTGGTCTGGAGTCCAAATTTGAGATTTTTGGTTCCAACCGCCGTGTCTTTGTGAGACGCGGTGTGGGTGAACGGATGTTCTCCGCATGTGTATTTCCCACCATAAAGCATGGAGGAGGAGGTGTTATGGTGTGGGGGTGCTTTGCTGGTGACACTGTCTGTGATTCATTTAGAATTCAAGGCACACTTAACCAGCATGGCTACCACAGCATTCTGCAGCGATATGCCATCCCATCTGGTTTGGGCTTAGCAGGACTATCATTTGTTTTTCAACAGGACAATGACCAAACACACCTCCAGGCTGTGTAAGGGCTACTTGACCAAGAAGGAGAGTGATGGAGTGCTGGATCAGATGACCTGGCATCCACAATCCCCCGACCTCAACCAAATTCAGATGGTTTGGGATGAGTCGGACCACAGAGTGAAAGAAAAGCAGCCAACAAGTGCTCAGCATATGTGGGAACTCCTTCAAGACTGTTGGAAAAGCATTCCATGTGAAGCTGGTTGAGAGAATGCCAAGAGTGTGCAAAGCTGTCATCAAGGCAAAGGGTGGCTATTTTGAAGAATCTCGAATATAACATATTTTGATTTGTTTAACACTTTTTTGGTTACTACATGATTCCATATGTGTTATTTCGTAATTGTGATGTCTTCACTATTATTCTACAATGTAGAAAATAGTATAAATAAAAGAAAAAACCTGGAATGAGTAGGTGTGTCCAAACTTTTGACTGGTACTGTACATCACTGTCAAGTGGCTCTTTACCGTTGCTAAAAATATATTGTCATTTTCTAAATGACTATAAATAACTATAGACTAGACTGCCTTGATCAGCCACTGTACCTCACATTCAAATGAAGCACATGAAATCCCCTTCAGGTGTATCTTTACTGTGTAAGATAAACCCAACAGTCAGATCAGTAGACAAAAGAGGCATTGTTGTCCACTAGCTAGCTAGAACACTCAGTGTAACTGGTTCCAATGTGAAATATTATCCACACCTCAACAACTGATAAGGCTACTGCTGATCATTTCCCCAATATAGTTTGAAACTCATACACGGTCCGTCGTAAATATTTCAGAACTATTCTGACTATGCTACAGTGTTCTGAATCACCACTATGGCTGAGTCCCAAATGACACCCTATTCCCTACATAGTGCACTACTTTTGACCAGAGCCCTATGGGTGCAGACCCTAACAGCGGAAATAACAAGTGTGGCTGTATGATGGTAGAAAGTGAGCCACTCTAGACTAGAGCCACTTTGGCCCTGATTCATGTCTATGGGCAGCAGGACAGCAGCAGAGGGCATTGAGGCCGAGGCGACACTCCGGAATTTTGCCCTGGCTGACATTTTACTGTACAGACATGTAAGGGAATACTCTCCTCTTCCCGCAGACAGACAGACAGACAGACAGACAAGTAGGGAAGGGAGGGAGGGAGGGTCATCTTTTGGCATGCAGCACAGGGCAGTACTTGTTAGGGTACAGACACAATCATCACTATGTAAGGGGCCGTTCTCTGATAGCCTAGCGCCCCACTCTCCTCCCACTCCCAAAAAGATGTGTGTGGGACTGACATCTCCCCCCCCTGTCCCTGCCCATATTAGTCCCACTCTAACTAAAGGAGGGATAAATATAGGCCCAGGCTGCAGAGGCCTGGCCGGCGCTGCTGAAGGCTCTATGAGGTCAAGCCAGAAAGATAAGGGCTGTGGTGGTGGGAGAGAGAGAGGTGGGAGGCGGTGGACAGCAGTGCTGCATTCTAGCACTTCCTAAGGTACAGATTAGGCAATGAGAGACATGTGCATGCATGCACTCACACAGAGATGTGAATTAGCGAGCTATGTTTAAATACAAAGCAAGAGTAACCTAACGGACGAGGGGAGATAATTATGAGAGAGAGAGAGAGAGAGAGAGAGAGAGAGAGAGAGAGAGAGAGAGAGAGCGAGCGAGACCCTGAGAGAGAGAGAGCGACAGAGAGAGAGACCCTGCGAGAGCGACAGAGAGCTAGACAGAGAGAGTGACAGAGAAAGTTACAGAGCAAGGCTAAAGATAAACTGACAACCTGTGAGTGTGTTTCTAGAGCTGGATTGGAGTTGGAGTCTCGAGTCCGAGTTTCCTAGTAAGTTCAGTCAGGCTCAGGACTAATTCCGGTAAGCAGACCTAGCTTCCTCATAGGGCTGCATCACAGGGACAGAGGCATTCAGTTAAAGGCCTCAGGACTATTCTGAGAGGAGTAGCACCACCTACATCTAACTCCAATCCACTGGAATTAAGGTGGGGTTCCATCAACGCTGAGATGTTAGAAAGCAGCCTGTGTTCAAATCAAAACTGCGTCCCAAATGGCACCCTATTCCCTACTAGGGGTGTCCCAAATGGCACCCTATTCCCTACTAGGGGTGTCCCAAATGGCACCCTATTCCCTACTCGGGGTGTGAACGTTTAAACATTGGGATCGTTGCCAGTTACAAAAAATCCCTAAACGAAAAACAGTGCATTTATCACAAAACTAACACCAACAGGTCTTGATCATCATCATAAAGGAAAAATTCTACAAATACCTTATGCAACAATGATGTAACATTACTAGGAGGAGATATGAATCTTTCAAATGATTTGCTTGGTTATAAAGCGCTTCGCACTTCTTCGTCGTAAACAGTTGGAAAAATGTCCGAGTGAGACAGGGAAGTGACAGCAGCGAAGTTCTGTATGGCAATACTTTGATAAAGTTAAATGAAAAGGTGGTGAAATAAATGCTAACTTTGCAAGGTGAAATTGAGCTACAGGGGCAGTACAACCATCTGAAAGGGAGTCACCATGAAACCCGTTTCTGGCAGTAGTGAGAAAATCACGGTGCTGATTACAGAAATGATTGCAGTTGATATGCAGCCATTGTCAATGGTAGAGGATGTCGTCTTCACTGCCCTGATAGCAGTGGTCTAAGGCAGTGCATCGCAGTGCTAACTGTGCCACTAGAGATCCTGGTTCGTATCCAGGCTCTGTCGGTGCCGGCCGCGACCGGGAGACTCATGGGCGGCGCACAATTGGCCCAGCGTCGTCCAGGGTAGGGGAGGGAATGGCCGGCAGGGATGTAGCTCAGTTGATAGAGCATGGCGTTTGCAACGCCAGGGTTGTGGGTTCGATTCCCACGGGGGGCCAGTATAAAAAAAATATGTATTCACTAACTGTAAGTCGCTCTGGATAAGAGCGTCTGCTAAATGACTAATAATAATAATAATAATATGCCATTTAGCAGACGCTTTTATCCAAAGCGACTTACAGTCGTGCGTGCATACATTTTTGTGTATGGGTGGTCCCGGGGATCGAACCCACTACCTTGGCGTTACAAGCGCCGTGCTCTACCAGCTGAGCTACAGAGGACTAAAATGTAAATGTAAATATCTAGAACAAAGACCGATGCCATGTCGAAAAACCGTGACGGCCTGGATGGAGAAATTGTACAATGATTGTTCTGCAAGTATAAAGCGCAAACATTCAAACACCATACGTGGCGTTGACGACAGATTGTAGGATTGCTGTCATACATCACAACGAGCCATCACATTGATGAGAAATGGGACATGAAGTCCCATGGGCTAACAACTGAGAAAATGGAGGAGAGGGACACAGCAGAGAACCTAAAACGGCATTAACTACCATCGTTTCTGAGGGGTGGGGGACAGCAGTAAGGTGCGCGCCGTCTGGTAAGTTGCCAGGACTGCGGTAGAATGAACTGCATTGCCCCCTAGCGGTCATACGCAGGATCACATCTGAATTGTGAATTCACGTAATTTTGGGGATTTTTTCTTATTGTTTAAACAATATAAATGTTTTTGCAGTTTAAACATTAAGAACAATTGTACATTTGTCACATCCCCATTCTCTAGATAGTGCACCACTAGTAGCACCGTCATGGTAACATCTCACTAAACTGCTGATGAACCAGACCTGTAACATCAATGTCTCCTGTTCTGTTTAGTGTTTACCGATGTTCATGGATACTACTAATGACAAACAATCACATCACACACACACACAACTTAAATCTGGCTTCCTTGTATGGCTGCCAATCTTTACATACACCCTTAAAGTGAGTCACATTCATATTTATTTTCCCCAGAATAACAGTAAAGCAGCATATGTGTTTGGTATACAGCGAAGGGGGGTAGCATTCTAAATTATTAGTGGGACAATACCTCTTTAGGATTTCAGGTTTCCAGCAGGTAGCCAAACACTGTAAACCTGCAATTAGCCCAGCCCATGGTTAAACATTAAAAGTATTTCTGACACACAGGCATTCCTCTGTCTATTTCTAGCATGGTTACACACTATTAACAAATCGGTTTGTAAATCAAAATACTGTCAAAACCCAAAGATTTTCTGGATCGGTTGGTTTGACAGAGATGTCGAGGAAAGGAGGCCATCATATAGCCAATAGGTGGTTGTTTGCCCACCATGAAAAGGCTAAGAGAAAACATACTAAAACCTGGCCAAAGTTTTCCTCCAAAACAAGGAAGTTTGCTTTCTTACATCTGGTGCCGTTTATGGCATACAAGTGCCTGTGCGCGTCAGCGAGAGAGCGAGTATGTGTGTTTCAGATGAAGACAAACAAAGTCTAGGCTATTCAAATGACAAACTAGTCTAGGCCATAAAATAAGGATAACTGCCCTTGTCACACACCCATACAGTGAACTAGTGAGTGAGGAAATACAAGGCATCCACTCCTGAAGTACCCAATGATATCTAATCTCCCCCATAAGCAAATAAGTAGTAATACTACCCATGTATGCCATAGAAACCAGTGCAAAGTGAGTATATGGACAGCATACAACACATTTGCATGTCTTCATTTAGCAGACTCTCAGAGCAAAATGGTCAATCAACGCAAAATCAGTAGGGTCTGACCAACATGGTCTGAACAGCCAATCATTGTCACAGGGGAATGTGATATGTGATTTTTTTTTTTTTTTAACATTTTCATTGCAGCTTTGATGGTACGGTATTTGCAACGCAGATATGGGCTTTTTGAGTCAAGCATATAGCGTTGGTTCATCCAAAAACACTGATCAGGTCCGTATTGATGGACTACTACTACTACTACTAGCCTTGACTAAAACTATGGAGCAAGGGTGTCTAGGATAGTCCCAACATATTAACACTAACAACTTGACTAAACTTTTATTCATCTGATGGATTTACACCTGTAAATACAAGTGCCCTTACTTGAGTGCCTTCCTACCCAACAATCAAAACACATACAAATACAACCCACTAACTACCCTTCATCAGGTAGGTTATTTCTCAGTATTCAAAGCACTCCCTTTAACGGGTGAGTTCTAATCATTCCTGTATTATGTTCACACCTGTACTACAAGCCAGCTATCAAATCAGTCTCTGGGACTGGTCTCACACTGTATAAAACAGAGGCCCAAGTAAGAACATCTCAGCCAATTAGCCTAGTTAGAATGGCTGCAAGCTTCAGAACAAAGAGCTTCAACTCAAAAACATGGATGGATGGATGGATGGATAGATACGCTATAGAATATTTTCTCAGGACACGTAATATAACAACCAGAAAACACATCAGCCAAAATATAATTGATAATAAGCTATAAATCAATTTGATTTAATATATCTCTATGTGTTATTAAAGAAGCACAAAATCAAAAGGGGGAGGGGGGGGGGGGGTCAAGTGAGACTGGCAGGCTGATTCTCTGGCTTTATAGAGCAGACACTGTTGCTTTATATGGATATCTGACTGACTGACTCACAGGATTTGTCAGACCAGTTTGTAGACAGCCAGGTAGATGATTCAGATCTCGCGCCACGCAATTATCAAGGATAACCCATTGTGCTATAATTTCTCAACCAAGAGAGGAAGACCTGTCAAGATTACTTGCATCCTGTTACGTCACTCTCGGGAAATACATGCAGTCAGGATGGACTGTCACACCGTTATTAGAAATGTGTCAGATTCCTTCACAACAATGTTGCAACATCTGAGACTAGTGACAACTGAGCTAAAGTAAATAAATCTGAAATGTATCCATACATCCTTCGATATCCCATGTCCACTACATGGGGAAAATAATCTAGTGGGGAATTATCTTAATTTTAACCACAAAAATTTTCGTCGCAAAAATTTACAACTCACAGTTGGTTGATCTGGTTCTGAGACACAACTCCGTTGTCGGAGAAGTAGGGCATCATCTTCGCTCCGCAGCAGGAGCAGAAGCAGCCCTCCGCCGAGCTCCGGGTGGCAGACACACTACCGAGCGTCATGACTGGACCACCGAACAGTAGACCGATACTTGATGAGACCGGCGGCGCCAAATATCCTCGAAAAGGCTCACTCCACTCCGACCATGGTCAACACTTATTAGTCCAACGAACTCAATAGATATTCGACAGTATGTTGTCGACCTATCTCCTTCGCGGCATTATAAAATAGGCAGCTAGAAAATAAAGTATCCTGTTCGTAAAATAAAAACGCGTAGCCTATCATACAATTATGAAAAAAACGTTTTACTGTGTATCAAGTACAGTATCCTCTAATTGCAACACTGTTCCCATATTCTGTAACACATTCTTGCCGTAGGATCCTTCACGACCTATAATCATTATTTGTCTATGAAGAGCACTCGTGTCCGTCCTCTTACAGTAAAAGCTTTCAACTTCTGAACAGTAGACAGGCAGGCACTACAAACTCAAGTCGTGAGAGGGAGGAGTTGCTGACGTACTTAGAGGGGCCAAATGGAAAGACGAGGGGAGAGCGACAAGGAGGCACAACATATTAGGCACCCCTGCAGCGACAAGGTCGTGGAAGAGCAAGACAGCCATATAATGTGATGACTGACAAGTACACGGAGGTGTTGAGGTAAAGAGTAAAAGTACAGAAGGAACATACATGTAATTGCCTAAATAAAGGAAACACCAACACAGAGTGTCTTAATAGGGCGTTGGGCCACCATGAGCCAGAACAGCTTCAATACACCTTGGCATAGATTCTACAAGTGTCTGGAACTCTATTGGAGGGATGAGACACCATTCTTCCCCGAGAAACGCCATCATTTGGTGTTTTGTTGATGGTGGTGGAAAAATCTAAGTCGCAGCTCCAGAATCTCCCATAAGTGTTCAAATGGGTTGAGATCTGGTGACAAGACTGCAATGACATATGGTTTACATGGTTTTCATGTTCTCAAACCATTCAGTGACCACTCATGCCCTGTGGATGGGGGCATTGTCATCCTATGGGGACATAGCCATGGTAGCCAATATAATTTTTATACATGACCCTAAGCATGATGGGATGTTAATTGCTTAATCAACTCAGGAACCACATCTGTGTGGAAGCACCTGCTTACAATATACTTTGTATCCCTCATTAACTCAAGCGGTTCCATTATTTTGGCAGACCTGTACATACCTATTGCAACCACATGTTCTGTGACAGCTATGTGTTTACCAACAACTGACTCCTTGGAACTGTGCTTGTGCACACTGCTTCGCCTTACTGAGTACAACCAGACAACTTGTCTCAAATAACACTGCTAAATAACTGAGTAAATTGGATTTGGGAACAGACTGCAAAATGAGCTGTACCTTTGCCATTTCCATCAGATGTAAGAAGGTGAACCATATCATATGGTTCATGGAGTGGGAGACTGATCTCATTTCTCACACTGACCAGGAGACAGTGATGTTACGCAAGGGGCCCCATGAGAGGAAAACCAGGCACTCTCAGTGTCAGTAAGGGACAAGTGCACAAAACTTCTAGACTGGCATAGCGTTTTTAAATAGGAAAGTGAGAGATCTATGAAGCAGTGTAAATAGGCTACATGAGGGCACAGTGTTTACAACCCAACTGAGCTTTGTTCCACTCCACTGGGGGTGAGACCATTTGGATGGATTTGGGCTCCACTCGGCTACAGTGGATGAATCTCAATTGTGTTCCTTGTTTCCTCGTGTCCTCTCTCCCTTTTCAAAATGCATTGAGGAGAGGGTCAGATTCCTCCTCTAGGACCTTCTCCTCCAATGGGTTTTGAGGAGACGGCAAGGAGGAAAGAGGACATTAGTCAAGGAAATACAATTGAGACGCACCCAATGTCATATAAAAGGCTAGCTAGTTAAGGGATTGTTATTACCAAGAATGTATTTTTCTTAATTCGACTTAGACAGTTTGTGCCTATTTCAGACTTGAGATAAGTGTGCAACTTGGACTTTTGCATATATCACATATTCATGTAAATGGGAGACGTTAAAATCGGAGCACAGATCTCAAGAGCGAGTACCGATCTTCGCCACTGATCACAACAGTATCACGAGAGCCAAGTGACAAATCAGACTCTGGAAGCTATTTTAGTGTGTCTAAGTCGCTGTACTATTACTGTACAAACAAGGCAGGCAATTGTACAGTTTTTCCAAGGTCTGCTCTACAATGAGTCCCCAGAAAGTCAACAGCTCCGTCTCCTCTTCCTGCTCCCCATTGTCCCTCGTCTCCGAACTAAGAGAAGCCAGTCCTGGAATTTCACTTAACACGACCTGGCCTTGGATAGAAGAATGAAAGCGGTAATTCGTGTACACAACAAACGTGACGGTTCTGAGAACACAGCTCTTCCTCTGTCCTTTACTTCCTTAATTCCTGGGCCGCTTGAGCCAAAACAAACATTGTATAGGCTAGGCCTACATGGCTAAATGTCCACCTTATAAACAGGCCATAGTCCATTGAAAACTAAGCTATAGCTTCATTTGGTCTCACTCATATTGGAACGCTTCAATGGTGGCGGCCAATGTACTTTCACATGCTCCCCCATGGCTCGTTCCTTGGTTCCAGAGAGGCTAGGTCTGTAGGTTGTATTATGTAAATGTGGTGCTGCCTGAGGCTTGGAATAGAAGAAGTCATACTCCAGGGGTCAATTACACCTGACTACAGGGGCTCAATCAGAGGTCACTTAGTCAAAACACTCCATTGATGTTTCCACTCCCCACGGTCCGCCATTACCCAAGACACTACATTACACAGGCAGCCTGTACACACAAACAGGCAGCTACTATGCAAGTTCCCCTTTAAAGTTATAAAACCTAAGTGGCCAAAGAAAAGATGAGAAGACTGGCCGTGACGGCGTGGGACATGGTTACACTCAGTGTTTACAAAGTATGTGTAACACTTGACTCCTCGTGCACTCCGAATAACATGACAGGGAAGGAGACGTAGAAACTCACACATACCTGGGTGTCTTCGGTTACAGGGCATCGTCACATGGTCTTCTCCATTCCATTCAGCCTCCTCTCCGGTCATGAGGTCTAGCCAGTCACCCACTGTGTTATCATCGCAGCCAACGTTCAACCAACCAACACACATTAAAGCACCATCTGTGTGACCAGCATCTGTGCTAGTTATGTGGCACAGAACGTTTTGCACATCTTTTAATAGGCTAGACCACTACTAAATCACATTGTTTTGTTTTGACTCTGGTAATAGGGTCCAACATGTGGGGGCAACATGTGGGTCCGATTGCGCAATGGCTTGTGTCTCTCTCTCTCTCTCTCTCGCTCTTTGAATGAAAGTTACCAGAAAAAGGTCACAAATTGTTGCAGGCAGCAGTCAGTCACTGGGTCTCTGTGTACTCCCCCAAGTTACCCCTTAACATCCTGCTCACTACAAGTGAGCAGCTGTTTCCTATAGGCCTGCTGCACTGGAGCTAGTTGGAGGAGTAGTGGGGTCTGAAATGAGACCAGCCAGGACACTTAGCCTACACTGACTGCAGCACTAGTAACAGACCTGGACATAAACGCTACAAGGCCAAGCACAGGGCAGGCTAATGCATGCCCCGTCAAGCTAGTGTTTTTTACTTACCACTTAGCCTATTTGGTTGTGATCTGAGCACCTTGGGACCTAAGTGAAGGGCTAAAAAACAACAGAGACACTTAAGGCACCAGGAATTAAGAGGAAAACAGTGAATCAATCAGGAAAATCATTGTCAGTTGAGGTTAGAAGGGTGGTGCTGGTAGCCAGGAGAGATGTTCCAACTTGACAGACAGGTGTGAGAAACAGGCTGCAATGAAAGACGATGACTCCAGGCCTGGGGTTTGAGTCCGCATGTACAGCTAGCTGGCTGCGTCTGCCATTCCCTTTCCTTCCCGCAACCGGTAATGGGACTGGGTGAACACTGAGCACAGGGTAACCAAAATCCAGAATAACCTGCTCTGCCAGCCACATCTGAGGTGCAGCAGCAGGCACATACACAGATGGGAGTCAACCTGTGCCCCTCCCACTCGCCAAGTGCCCTTTTGGGTTGTGGTAATTTATATATATTTTTTTGTATAAAAGTTTGTCGTTGTTGTTCTGAACCCATTGCCCGCAAGTCGTTGTGACGTCGTCAAGTTCGCCACCCCATCCGTTGGTTGCGCCTGTTGGTCTGCCCTGTACAGACCTTGCGTGCGCCCGGTTGCACCTGTTCCCGAGTCTGCCCTGTACTGGGATTGTGCACACCCATTATCCAAACATGCATGGCTTGAGATGTGGTCACCGATCGAGTGTGTGTGTAGCTATCTACCTAGTTTAAATATCAACAGTACTGCCACAGAAGCATAACATTTGATTAACACTTGATTTTCATCATCATCAATATTCGGTCTGGTTGGCTGAAACGCACAGCAGAGGTAGAAAGACCGAGGATCGGCTGCATCAACGACCCTCCGACCCAACGCCATCCCTTCTTCAGTCGGCAGCAGTAACACAGGTAGTCTACTCTAGCTAACCACCATATACTAAAATATCTACATAGCCAGCCATATATCACGAGTTAGAAGATTATGAATATCATTATGAAGTTACTTGATACGAGCATTGAAGATAAATCACAATCAGTCAAATCAAATCGAGAGCTAACTTGCAGATTTCATCAGCATCAATGATCAGCTGATCGCCCACCCTCTTTTCCCGACGTCAATCATGTCTTTAGGAGGCACTGTAACTACATGACCAAAAGGCATGTGGACACCTGCTCGTCGAACATCTCATTCCAAACTCATGGAGTTGGTCCCCGCCTTTGCTGCTATAACAGCCTCCACTCTTCTGGGAAGGCTTTCCACTAGATGTTGGAACATTGTTGCGGGGACATAAGAGCATTAGTGAGGTCAGGCACTGATGTTGGGCGATTAGGCCTGGCTCACAGTCGGCTTTCCAATTCATCCCAAAGGTGTTCGATGGGGTTGAGGTCAGGGCTCTGTGCAGGCCAGTCAAGTTCTCCACACCGATCGACAAACCATTTCTGTATGGACTTTGCTTTGTGCACGGGGGCATTGTCATGCTTAAACAGGAAAGGCCCTTCCCCAAACTGTTGCCACAATGTTGGAAGAACAGAATCGTCTAGAATGGTCATTATATTATGCTGTAGCGTTAAGATTTCCCTTCACTGGAACTAAGGGGCCTAGCCCGAACCATGAAAAACAGCCCCAGACCATTATTCCTCCTCCACTTAACTTTCAAATCAAATAAAATTTTATTGGTCACGTGCGCCGAATACAACAGGTGCAGACATTACAGTGAAATGCTTACTTACAGCCCTTAACCAACAGTGCATTTATTTTAAACAAAAAAAGTAAAAATAAAACAACAAAAAAAAGTGTTGAGAAAAAAAAGAGCAGAAGTAAAATAAAGTGACAGTAGGGAGGCTATATATACAGGGGGGTACCGTTGCAGAGTCAATGTGCGGGGGCACCGGCTAGTTGAGGTAGTTGAGGTAATATGTACATGTGGGTAGAGTTAAAGTGACTATGCATAAATACTTAACAGAGTAGCAGCAGCGTAAAAAGGATGGGGTGGGGGGGCAGTGCAAATAGTCCGGGTAGCCATGATTAGCTGTTCAGGAGTCTTATGGCTTGGGGGTAGAAGCTGTTGAAAAGTCTTTTGGACCTAGACTTGGCACTCCGGTACCGCTTGCCGTGCGGTAGCAGAGAGAACAGTCTATGACTAGGGTGGCTGGAGTCTTTGACAATTTTGAGGGCCTTCCTCTGACACCGCCTGGTATAGAGGTCCTGGATGGCAGGAAGCTTTGCCCCAGTGATGTACTGGGCCGTACGCAATACCCTCTGTAGTGCCTTGCGGTCGGAGGCCAAGCAGTTGCCATACCAGGCGGTGATGCAACCAGTCAGGATGCTCTCGATGGTGCAGCTGTAGAATTTTGAGGATCTGAGGACCCATGCCAAATCTTTTAAGTCTCCTGAGGGGGAATAGGCTTTGTCGTGCCCTCTTCACGACTGTCTTGGTGTGTTTGGACCATTATAGTTCGTTGGTGATGTGGACACCAAGGAACTTGAAGCTCTCAACCTGTTCCACTACAGCCCCGTCGATGAGAATGGGGGCGTGCTCAGTCCTCTTTTTTTTCCTGTAGTCCACAATCATCTCCTTTGTCTTGGTCACGTTGAGGGAGAGGTTGTTGTCCTGGCACCACACGGCCAGATCTCTGACCTCCTCCCTATAGGCTGTTTCATCGTTGTCGGTGATCAGGCCTACCACTGTTGTGTCGTCGGCAAACTTAATGATGGTGTTGGAGTCGTGCCTGGCCATGCAGTCATGGGTGAACAGAGAGTACAGGAGGGGACTGAGCACGCACCCCTGAGGGGCCCCCGTGTTGAGGATCAGTGTGGCAGATGTGTTGTTACCTACCCTTACCACCTGGGGGCGGCCCGTCAGGAAGTCCAGGATCCAGTTGCAGAGGGAGGTGTTTAGTCCCAGGATCCTTAGCTTAGTGATGAGCTTAGAGGGCACTATGGTGTTGAATGCTGAGCTGTAGTCAATGAATAGCATTCTCACGTAGGTGTTCCTCTTGTCCAGGTGGGAAAGGGCAGTGTGGAGTGCAATAGAGATTGCATCATCTGTGGATCTGTTGGGGCGGTATGCAAATTGGAGTGGGTCTAGGGTTTCTGGGATAATGCTGTTGATGTGAGCCATGACCAGCCTTTCAAAGCACTTCATGGCTACAGACGTCAGTGCTACGGGTCGGTACTCATTTAGGCAGGTTATCTTAGAGTCCTTGGGCACGGGGACTATGGTGGTCTGCTTGAAACATGTTGGTATTACAGACTCAGTCAGGGACATGTTGAAAATGTCAGTGAAGACACTTGCCAGTTGGTCAGCACATGCTCGGAGTACACGTCCTGGTAATCCGTCTGGCCCTGCGGCCTTGTGAATGTTGACCTGCTTAAAAGTCTTACTCACATCGGCTACGGAGAGCGTGATCACATAGTCATCCGGAACAGCTGGTGATCTCATGCATGCTTCAGTGTTGCTTGCCTCGAAGCGAGCATAGAAGTGGTTTAGCTCGTCTGGTAGGCTTGTGTCACTGGGCAGCTCGCGGCTGTGCTTCCCTTTGTAGTCTGTAATAGTTTTCAAGCCCTGCCACATCCGACGAGCGTCAGAGCCAGTGTAGTACGATTCAATCTTAGACCTGTATTGACTCTTTGCCTGTTTGATGGTTCGTCGGAGGTCATAGCGGGATTTCTTATAAGCGTCCGGGTTAGAGTCCCGTTCCTTGAAAGCGGCAGCTCTACCCTTTAGCTCAGTGCGGATGTTTCCTGTAATCCATGGCTTCTGGTTGGGGTATGTACGTACGGTCACTGTGGGGACGACATCATCGATGCACTTATTGATGAAGCCAGTGACTGATGTGGTGTACTCCTCAATGCTATCTGAAGAATCCCGGAACATGTTCCAGTCTGTGCTAGCAAAACAGTCCTGTAGCTTAGCATCTGCGTCATCTGACCACTTTTTTTATTAACCGAGTCACTGGTGCTTCCTGCTTTAGTTTTTGCTTATAAGCAGGAATCAGGAGGATAGAGTTATGGTCAGATTTGCCAAATGGAGGGCGAGGGAGAGCTTTATATGCGTCTCTGTGTGTGGAGTAAAGGTGGTCTAGAGTTTTTTTCCCTCTGGTTGCACATTTAACATGCTGGTAGAAATTAGGTAGAACGGATTTAAGTTTCCCTGCATTAAAGTCCCCGGCCACTAGGAGCGCTGCATCTGGATGAGCGTTTTCCTGTTGATTAATGGCCTTGTACAACTCATTCAGTGCAATCTTAATGCCAGCATTGGTTTGTGGTGGTAAATAGACAGCTATGAAAAAGATAGATGAAAACTCTCTTGGTAAATAGTGTGGTCTACAGCTTATCATAAGATACTCTACCTCAGGCGAGCAAAACCTCGAGACTTCCTTAGTATTTGATTTTGTGCACCAGCTGTTGTTTACAAATATACACAGACCGCCACCCCTTGTCTTACCGGAGTCAGCTGTTCTG